GACTGCTATAGATATGCTACCCTAGGTGGTGCCCATTTCTGGTGTGGCCCATGGACCATCTTGTTTGCCTAATTGTTATACATTTCGTGATGCACTGTGTCCACATCATGCCAACCATCTGTAACTGCGTTATACATGCACACGCACACTCAACGTTATTAATGTCCGTACGCTTAATTTTTCAACGCGGTAATGCAAACATCAATGCACTTATTTTGTCGATAAATCAATGGCCGGCGTTGATTCCTCCGCTTGAACCGTGTTAGAGGCCATTGGGACGCCGCGCCTCTGTCCAGAGGGAGAGCTGCGATGCGCGTGCAAGCTGTGTACAAGAACAACAACAACAACAATAGCGGTCCCACGGTGGCTAGGAAATGTTAACTAGCTCGCCTGGTATACAAGGAGGTCGTGGGTTCGATCCCGACCCTGACGCTGCTGTATATTTGGTGCTTGCGTGTTCTCCCTGTGGTCGCGTGGATTTTTCTCCGGGTATTTAGAAACATGCGTTATTATTTGGCTGTTGTAAATGTTTACATGATAGGCTACTTCGTTGAGCTATCATTTGTGGCCAGGTCGCTTCTAAAAAAAGGCTAAAAGAGCTCAGTGAGCCTTATCTGGTAAAATAAAAATATAAAGAGTAATCATTATTCTAATTTTAGTGTGCTGCACAGAGCTTCAATTACTAACAGCTCCTCGACACAATTCGTAGAGGTAAAGTATAATGACATGTTATGTAGAATACATAACAGCCCTTTTGTTGGCTACCTGCTGGATGAAGGGCACCGTGTCGTTCGTGTCGGTTGGGTGACCATACTTCACCATCCTGGCCACTGCGGGTTGGTGAAGGGGGGAAAGAGTCCAGGGCCGGTTCCGGTACATTTCGCCGCTGATGTTAGCCTTGGCTGAGGATCGACCTCGGGTCGCCAGGTTTAGGAGTTCGCCAAGCACTGCTGCTGCACCCTGCAGGTAGCTGACCTCGATACGCAGGTGCGGGCCCGCCGATGCCAAGCCTCGAATTCGACGAGGGCCCATATATTCAGCAATAAAAGACATGCAAAACATGTGAAAATCCATAGACGGTAATGCGAGGGATATAAGCAGTCATTTAAACGGCTTATTGCCACGGACGAACGCTCCGTAATGAAGAATCGATACGTAATTTACAAGAAGTGATACGTGATAAGTAATACGTGTAAACACGGCGTTGTGCACGCGTCATAACGACGAGTCCGTGACGCTCGCTGTCGATGCTTTGCCTCGACTCGTTTTCGAACGTTTTCTTTTTTAACACCATCCGAAAATACGCACGTGAAATGTGTACGTAAAATAATTTATCGTCGAGTGTCACGTGCGAAATCTCAACACGAAGCCAGGCTCCTCTTCTACGTGCGAAGGATTTGTTAGGCGTGAAAAGTCGCGGTGCGGCGCAGCGCGACCGGAGTTTGAGACGCCCGCTCCGACGGATCTATTGGACGTCAAACAACGCAACCGAAGAGTGAACAGTGACAACGGGCCCTTGCCGAAGCACCAGAGAGGCGGTGGTAGCCGCAGGGGTTAGGTTCGGTGGTGCGGCTGGCACCGGTGGGCGATTGGCTCGTCGGTTATTCGCTAGTCCAGGCGTCGGAAAACAAAATAACAAGAAGAGCCATTCTTTTCGAATTCCGTCCAAAACCCCCCCCCCCCTCAATATTTCAAGAGCCGCAATGCACTCAGGGCCGGATGAAGATTGTGTAGGCTCCTGGGCTAACAGGTACTGTGAGGCCCACAGTAATATTTTCAAAAGGAAAACAAAGTTAAAGAAAAATTAAATGTATATTTACAAGGCTAACAACAAATAAAATTCAGCATTCACAAGTGAAATAACTTTTCACTTAAATCTCTGGAGGCCCTCCAGCCGGCGGAGGCCCCTGGGCTGCAGCCCCGAAAGCCCCCCGTGCCTTAATCCGGCTCTGAATGCGCTGTGTGGTGAATACGAGAGGGCGGTCGTGGCTAATTAACGCGTCACGAAGCGGTCCTTGAAGAGCCGCACGCGGCCGCGTGTGGGGGACGTTCAGCCCCGAGGCCGGGGCGAGGAGGAGGAGGAGGCGGTGGTTGAGTTTTATCCGCAGAGAGCGGTGTCCCTGTGGAATCGGCCACCCAACACACAACGCGCGGTGGAAGCAGATTCACTGGGAACTCTTCGAGAGAAACGACTCGATGCGATTCGAGAAAATCGATCTGCTCCTGACCACTGAACGAGCCGCATGGACCGAATGGTCGCCCCCCCCAACCTTCCCTTGTTTGTAACCTTCCTCATGCTGTTATGTTCTTGTTGTGTTCTTGTTGTGTTATTGTTGTGTCATTGTCGTTATGTTCTTGGTGTTGTATTCTTCTTGTCGTTATGGTCTTAAGGAGCGTCCTGCCGTTTGGCGAGTCGGTATGCCTCGCGCCAAAGCCGCTTGCCACGTCTTCTTTTCTCAATTGCAAACTCCATTTATTTGAATTGCTTCTCGTAATTAGTTTGCTCCCCCACCCCACGCATCGAGGTTGGCTACGTACGGGGATGCGAAAAAAGGTTCAACGTACACATCCCTGGTCGGTCCTATCCGCTTTTCATGTTCTGGCGCTCAGAGCCACCGCACGCGCTGCTGATAGAGAGAAGCGCGTGAGAGGTGAACGTTGCATGCTGGGTGGCAATCCCCTCCCCGCCATCTCGTTTGTGGTGTTGTTCTTCTCACGCCGGGGCAATCTGCCGGTCTCATTTGTCAATTGTTCATTATCAAGTCCAATAACACTTGCAAGTCGCGCATTTACGGATGTCACTGAAGTAAAATAAGTCACGAGTTTGAATCCTCCCTGAATGCAGTTAGCAATAAATCCAGCTGATAAGATATGATATCCACGTAATGTGATTCTATCGTCATAAAATGCCTATTATTTTACCGTCTGTATGCATGTTCCCATATATTTAAATTATTAAAAAAACTAAGTTCTGGAATAGACGTGGCACAATTACGGGTAACGTCAGGAGAAGCGATATCTAAATTGGACACGACCCTCCTCTTTCACCACACCAGCACTCACCACTGTGGTGAAGTATGGTAAAAAAAAAACACCCAAAGCCAACAGCATGGAGAGGCCCTCATCCAGCAGTGGAATGGCACAAAGTCCACGCATTATTACGACTGATATTGACAAAACAAAGGCTGGGGTGGGAGGCTTGCTGATAGCAGGGCTGTGCCCACAGTGATTATTATAATCGGCACTCCACAAATCAGGGGATTCAAACGAGTGCAATGATGTGATGGTTGGACCTTCTGCTTGAGAAAGTGGCTCTCAACTCATTGAGCAGTCACCATCGACCGTCGTCGATTCACTGCTGGGTGAAGGCCGCCCTCGAAGTCCTGCGATTCCACAATCTTTTTAATTTGCTCTCCAACACACCGGTGTGCTGTACGAGTAATGAATTAGCATGTTCTGTTTCGATTTAAAGCTTTCGTGACTGCAAGGATTCATCTTCTTTGGTTCTTTCGGTAAAGTCACGTAGAATGACAATAAAATAATACATTGATAAAATAAAATAACACAATAATATTCTCACGACGTTTCGGCCACAACACAGCGCTGTCCTCCAGACAGTCTCGTCCCCTTCACCTGATGAAGGCCGCTTGTGTTGTGGCCGAAACGTCGTGAGAATATTATTGTGTTATTTTATCAATGTATTATTTTATTCTTATTCTAGCATGTTCTGTTTAAGTGACAAACCTTACCAAATGGCTATCGGGTGGTGGCGGATTTAACGACACATTTATATTTGCGCGATCTTACCCAAACCCCCCCCCCCTCTGTATTATGGATCCACAATCTATATCTGGCTACTCCATCCCATCGTTCCGTCTCAAGGGGAAGATCATCCTCCTCCTCTCGGGCGCATTCTCACCTTGAACCGCTATTCAGTTGGGAATCTCGTCTCATGGTCAATGCCCACGCCCACTCACGTGTCCTAACGGTAAACATGACGCCTCTCTTTTGTGGTCGTTCTCCGATCCGCGTGTTCCTCTTCCCTCTCGGTGTCATTCCGGAGCATACGTCTCTCCGTGCCTCGTTTCTTTATGAGCAATAAGCCACGCATTTCACCAAAGCGAAACCAACGCTTGTCGCACGCCTGCAGCATGTATGCATAGGCAATGGAAATCAGTGCATTACATTTCAACATGTGATACACGATTGAAGAACAATGTGTACTAATTATATTATATATGCACGAATCCAATCAAATCCATATATATTAGAATTTTCTGGAACATCATATGGAAGACCGTGAAATTAAAGGTGAATGGCAGCGGGCAAAACGAGAGAGAGAGAGAAACAATTTCCTGCCTTTACCCAGCAAAACCTCACCGAGTCTCAAGACTCTTTCAGGAGGTTCCTGCATCGGGACATTTGACCAAATTACATGAATAATTTGCTTTTTGGAGCAAACTGAAGTACCCGGATGAAACCTACTATGCGCGTAAGCTCCGCACGGATGGATTAAAGAATCCATTACTAATCCTGCTCGAGCCTGGTGGACCTCTCGGCACAAGCCGACAGGCCGCTTGAATTGTCAAGCAGTGAGCAGGCTCAGGCGTGATTAGCTTGCGAGATCTCACGAGGTTGGGGACTCCGGCAAGACCCGATCGTATACATGTCTGTGTTGGGCATCGACATAAACACCGGGAGATGTAAAACAATGACTAGTAGTCATATTCGTACAAAAGCACAAGGAGACGAAGCTATAGTCACAGCACCAGCTGTCTCATGGCGTACTTTATTAATTACACGAAACTTGACACCAAACTCAAACAGGCAGAACAAGAGACGATCCCAACCCTATGAGATTGCACTGAACGGAGGAAAATGACGAGGTACCCCCCCCCCCTCAACGCCGCGTGCGGGGGAGTGGCGAGGGGCGTGGGGGGCGTGGGGAGCGTGGGGGGCGTGGCAAGGGGGAGGGCGTGGCATGGGGGGGGGGTGTGGCAAAGGGGGGGGGGGCGATGTCCAAACGCGTCCACGCCCTACGGCGAAACCAAAGCGTCGAGGGAGAAGTGCGTTCTGAAGAAAATATACTCAGCTACTTTACAAGTACATGTACAAAAGGTTTAGATAAATATTTGCACACTATAGAAAGAAATTACATCCGATGCCAGTGTTTTTCGTTTTGCCTTGCGAGTTTGTGTGTGCGTGTGTGTGCGCGTGCGTGAAGAAATGTTTATTAAATGTTATACTTTTGTTTTGAAATGCGCAGAATACTGGTACGAGTTGGCGGGTCAACCCTGGCAGGAGTTGACACGTCTTCTAACACGCGGCGCCGGTCGGTATTCACGAACGGAGCACGATGCCCTCTCTCTTTCCTCGCTTCCTCGACGTCTCCCTCCCCCCTCGACTCACAATACAAACTTCGGCTCCGTCAGGGAGCAAACAGGCGGAGAGAGCTTCGGTAGCAAAACAAAGTCCATCCAAACTAGAGGCCTCAACGCACGCACGCACGCACAGGGGCGGACCGATCGACCGCCTAACAGAGTACAATATGTACACGTTCCTAACATCGTGGAAGCATCCAGACTACGCTCACAATGTACGCCGCCGCACGCTGGAGACAAAATGAACAACCCCCGTCAACGTTGCCGTGACGCGCCGCTTGCTCGGTGTGTTTTTGCGCGGCATGAAAGGTGAGCGAGGAGCCGCCGCTGAGAGGATTCTCGACGTCGCGAGACGCGCCGAGAGTCGAAGGGGATGACGCCGATCCATGCCGAGCAGGCAGAGGTAATGGGGCAGAGTTCACCTGAATGCAGAAGCTGCTCAAACTCTTCTTATATAAATACTTTGCTTGGGATGGGGAGTGGGGAGCAACAGCATCTCCATAACAAGAGAAACATTGAATCTGCATTGTGTTCTCATCCGGTTATAAAAAAACGGCGCTTCTTTTTTGTGCAAAACAGATTGGCGCGTCGCTGTTGCGCACAGCCTCCGCTTTCCCACGCGGAGGCTCAAACGGATCAGCAAAACATTCTTCGCAGAATCCTCGGAGAAGATTTGCAGGGCTGAAGAGGACGCACGTGGCCCGGCACGCCGAGCCGTGCACCTCGGCGACCTCGGAGGAGTCGGTTCCCAGTAGTGTCGCGTCCCTGTGCTCGAAACATTTAAATCGTGTACAAAAAAAAAACATCATTCTTCTTACACATGTAAACAGATGTTCTCAGAGGTTCCTTTTCTCTTCATCTTTTTCAAGTGGGAGGGCAGGAAGTGCTGCAGGCAGGCGTTTGGTTTTTTGCGCGTCGCGAGTGGGGCGGGGGGGGGGTGGTGGTGAAGGATTTCACCGTCGGCTCCGCGACTCTGGCAGCAGATTTCGGTCCGCTCCTTCCGCGTGGCGACGGCGCCACCGCGGCACAAGAAGTGCCCCTAGCACCAATAGCACCGAAATAATTTACACGTCCGCACGGTGGCTCAAGCGACGGCGCCGAGAGCCGCGCCCCCCCCCCCCCCCCCCCCCCCCGTATCGCCCCAGCCACACGGCAGAGGCGATGTTCACGTGCGTCCGCCGTTCGATGAATTATTCCAAATGGTTTTAAAAATGTAAAACGCATTTTTTGGGGGTGGTTAAATAAAAAAAAAAGTTTCCATAAAGAGAATTATTTCATAACGCATGTATATATTTGATATGCCTTTTACTGCCGCGACAAAGGGAAAATGGTGCAGTTAAACGGCGCCAAACTTCTTCTCGCGGAACAGCGTCGGGTGCGAGATGGTCCAATCCCGCCGTCTGCTCTAAGGGAAGTAGAAAAAAATTTGAAAACTGGCGAATCTATCAAACGCTCATCGACACATTCTCGACGTGGAACCATTTTCGAGCGTCAAGACGTTTTTTTTTTTTTTCAGATGATTAAAAAAATATCGCGATCCTAGAAAATGTTTTTCCAAAACCATTTCGACCGCACGAGCCATCGTTGGCGTCCGTTCATCGCGAGGTCCCGCTCCGATCGCGAAGCGAGGTTTCCCGGGGGCCAGCGTCGTGTGGCTCTCACGGGCCGTCGCCCCCCGCTCCGGCGTCTCTCTCACGCCTCGTTGGACAGCTGGCTGGCCGTGGACGAGAAAGAATCGTAGAGCGAGTCGCTCAGCGACTCCACGTTGTCCCCCGTCGCCTTGCCGGAAGCGAAGGACGCGTCGTCGCCCGCACGATCCTCGCCCTCGCGATCCTCGCTCTCCTCGCCGCCGTCCTTGGGCGACGCCGCCGGGCCCCGCGGCGAGCGGACGACGCCCGGCCCAAGCGCCCCCGGCACCGCCGCCACGTGGCGCCGTCGCTGCTGCTGCTGCTGCGGGAACGCGCCGTCGGGGCCGGCCGCGGCTCGCTGGCCCCCGCCGTCGCCCTGGAGAGACGGAGAGAGATTGACGAGCGTCCGGCACGGGATGGTGGCATAAGAACTGAATGCCAATTTGCGTTTCGTCTCCCTCTATCTACCGCGCACAGACACATACACGCTGCTATTAACTAATGATTGGTATTTTACCAGGTAAGGCCTGTTAAGCTATATAGTACCTTTTTTCGGAAGCGACCTGACCACAAATGATAGCCCAACAAAGTGGCTTATCTCGTGGAAATTTATAGCAGCCAAATACTCTCAACGCATGTTTCTAAATGTGAGAGGACCTGGAGAAAAATCCATGGAACTACAAAGATAAAGATCCCCCGTATAGCCTTAACAGACTGTTGGAGCAAGTGCTGTTAGCGAGCACCTATGAAGGCCGGCACAACGCCCAGTTGCCTTTGTTTCCCGAGTGTTTTACACACCGCACCAGGTACTCAATTGAGGCCGAGTCGACCTAGGGGAGGCCCACGGCCGGTTAAAATATTCGCCACTGTTATTGATCGTGAGCGGGAACCAAACTCTGGTTGCCGGTTTTTTATCGCAACTTGCTAACCGCTACACTACCACTCACCACCCACGTAACTACACACACACTCACGTACACACAAATATAAGCACATACACACACACACTGATAAATATATACACACTTAAAGACAAAGAGCCCCCATATAGCCTTTAACAGACTGTTGGGGCAAGTGCTGTTATCGAGTAGCACCAATGAAGGCTGACACGGCACACGAGGGGATGGGTGGCCAGCACCACGCCCGGCCGCTGTATGTGTGTATCTGAGACAGATCCAACCTTCTGAGACAAGATACACAGTCACATGGACAGATATGCGTGCAAACAAATGCACAACCGCACAAAGTTACATATGTAGACACCCGAAGACAGCCTTAGTGAGATGAGTGTTTAATATTTACGTTAAAGGTGTGAACGTGTTAGTGTTGCCACCAGTGTCTACCAGACAGTTTGAAAATTAAATTTTCATCACATAAATGAAGTAATTACAATGCCTGTACAGTGGAAGCACGCACAGGGCTACAATTATCCACACTCCGACTCTCAAGGAATCATTGAGGATTACATTTTGCGGGGAAATAATTTTACACGCGTAAAAGTTTGCAACGCTGCTGGCCAAAAAAAAAAAGACGGGAAAAAGAGAACCCTCATCCTTAGCTTTCACCCCCTCTCCCTCCCCTTCGATAACTCACGACACCCGCTCAAAACAAATAGCAAGAGGGAGCCTCCCAGAAGTGACACGGAAATTGAGACAACGTTAACTGGGAAAGGTTAGCCTGCTCGTAATTAAAAGCAGAATGTGGATTGCGATTCCCTCCCACCAACACAAAATGATTAAAGAAATCTTTCCCTCGTGACCAGAGCTCAACGTCTCCGCATCATCATCATCATCTCGGTATCGCTGGCAAGAGCAGCGGAATGGTGAGAGCTACAATGGGCACACGGCCGACAATCTCCGGGGAATGTCGCACAGTCGCTGGCTAATAACTTCCCCACTCTTCCACAGAAGGTTTCGTTTTACGGACTCTGGATGTTAATTTTCATTCTGTGCACCGAACCCAATTAAGAATGAATCCCCCGGCAGTGCAGCCAGAATCCTGGGTCTCTGGTGAGCCAACCCTTCCCCCTCTGCTACCCCCCCCTCCGCCGCCCCCGCCCGCCCCCCAAGAGAAACGGGTAATGCAGCTCCTCCCTGCGCTTGCTTTGTGAGCCGATAATGAAGAATTTTGCTGAAGATAGGAAGGAGGCATCTTGCAAAGGGGCGAGCGATAGCGAGCGGTCGGTCGGGAGAGGAACAGTGTCCCGTGCACACACTCACGCGCACTCTCTCGCACGCACGCGCTCGCTCGCACGCACTCACGTGCACACTCTCGCACGCACTCACGCGTGCACACTCTCGCGCACGCACTCGCATGCACTCACGCGCACACGCACGGACGCACTCGCATGCATACGCGCTCACACTCGCAGGACCTTGCACGCACGCACGCACACATGCGCACCTCCCTTCCCCGGGGAAGGATGTGCTTTCCTTATCGCCACTCATATCGGCTGGGTCCGCTCATTATAAATTTATTCAGAACTCACTGCCGACGGATTCAAGCTGAAATTGCAGATCCTTTTAGGCCGATATAAAAAGATGGTTACAGAAGAACCAAGGTTACATTTTCAATTTGTCTTGTCCTGCCCCCATCCACACTCCCCGTGCACCCCCCCAAACTCCCCCTCTCTTTCCACCGCCCCATCGCCGCGCTAACCTCCTCGCTTCACTCGGCACACCGAGGGCCCCGTTGCCGGCACACTGAGGGCCCCGTTGCCGGCACACCGAGGGCCCCGTTGCCGGCACACCGAGGGCCCCGTTGCCGGCACACCGAGGGCCCCGTTGCCGGCACACCGAGGGCCGTTGCCGGCATGACACGCTGGCGTCATACCGACGCTGTTTGCCGCGGCGTGAGAGAGCGAAGCTCTGCGTGAGGCGGGCAGCACGCATCGTCGAGGCTGCTCAGCTTTTTAAAAAACGAATTCACACGCAGAGCTCATTGAGCCAACACGCACGCTGACCGGGCCCCACCATGTACAACGCAATCTCCAGCGCTTATCCACACACAACCTCTTTGTATTCTCTGCTATGAGAGCCATTTTACAAAGCATCACTTGGCGTCATCTGGTCGAGCACCATTATTGGGTCGAGGCTCAAAAGAAAGCCGTCCCTTGGTGTGGACCAATCAGTTTCAAGGACAATGCATATATTATCATAGTATGTTTTTTGTTTGCATTTTTACTGCAGGTATTGTGGTTAATGCAGACATGAATCCTCGTAAAAAGGTTTCAGTTTTGTTGCCAGAAAAAAGGGGAAGAACCTTATTATAACATCACTTGATGCTTGTTATTATTAAATATTCCCACTTCAGGGCAGTGTTGTTGACGAGTGTGTTGAGTTGAGCTATTTGCGTGCCAACGGCGGCATCGCACATTCGTTCCTTTAATTTACAAGCTGACAAGACACGTGGACACATGGCGTCTCTGACAAGACACGTGTACACATGGCGTCTCTGACAAGACACGTGTACACATGGCGTCTCTGACAAGACACGTGTACACATGGCATCTCTGACAAGACACGTGTACACATGGCGCCTCTGACAAGACACGTGTACACATGGCGTCTCTGACAAGACACGTGTACACATGGCGTCTGTGCGGTTGTATAATTGTAATCCATGTCCTCACCCAAATCTGTGGAACACAGCGGCGAGTTTTCGGACGTGAGTTTTTAGGCAACCAAAATTACGATTCATAATTGATTAGAGTATTATGCAAAGTGTTATGTCGTAGGCTTCCCCTCCTGGGTATCATAATTGTTGTGTACGTCGCTCTCCAACACGCGGGTGTGCCGAAGTGGTGATACATTGGCACGTTTGTTGACGTGACAACGTTATTAATTGGTTGCGTCGGGTGAAGGATGGATTGTACGACACGGCACTTTACTCACCCAATCTGACCCAAAAAGCAATTATGAAACACAGCAACTCTTTCAGATTCAGGAAACGAACCAAGAGCGGGATCACTCGATTTCGCATGCGGCCTGTGCAAACCGTGTTTGTTCCAGGCAAAAAAAGTTCCAAAGTCTCAGAGTTACAGCCGGGCTGTGATCTACTCTGTCAAAGGTCTCATAACTCATGAGATAGCAAACAGCAAGCCAATGCCGCAGGGACAACCCGGGCTGATATATTTCTCTGTCAAAATAAATATTGAAGACCCCTATTAAATCTGTCACAGTATGTTTTTGTTGTTGTTTCTTTCTTTTGATTTTTTTTCTCTTTGGAACACTCACATCGTGCAGCTGTGATAATATTCAGTGTGGAATGGAATAAACACAACATGCACAGCATTCACGGGGCTTTGTTCTTCTTTTTTCCGCCTGCAGAAATGCAAGTTCGCAGCTATAATTTGTTGACCTTTGCACCTCGGGAAAAAGTAAACAGGCTGGATTTGAAAAATAGCACAGCGACACGTATACACACCGATGTATATGTGCCGTTTGCCTGGCACTTCTTTGGCTTCGTGTGGCAAGCATCATGGCGATGGGGATTGAACCTGGGTTGCTGTGATTGTCACTATTATTACGCTTGTTTAATCAGGAAAGTCTCCCCTAGTCTCAAGGCTCTTTCAGGAGGTTCCTGTCGAGTTGTCGTCGGCGGCAATTTTTCTGCCAGTGAGCCCATGAGTCATTTTGCATTATTGGGATGTTTCGGAGGTACCAGTTACGTTGTAGTTTTTTTTTTGCGATATAGGAAACCAGAGAATCCACAGGAAACCCACGCAGAGCACTGGGAGAACATACAAACATACAAACTCCACACAAATGTCTGGAACCCGAACACCCAGGCCCTTTTATGTTGCGAGGCATGGTTGCTCCTCGACCCATCACCGTTCCTCTCGCTTCGCCACCACCCTGCCGTGTGGATAACATGACTGTGTGATTCAAGCAGTATACGCTTGCGGAATAGTTTGCATCGCCTTGAGATGCAATCATATTTTGACACAAACTGGCGCCAGTCCATCCTACACATTAGATGGGATGGCACTTATTCCGATCTCGCAACTCAACTTTAGAGGAAGGGAAGGAGAGTTTAGACATTTATAAACTCCCATAATTCTGATCATATTTTTGCATCTATATGGAAAATCAGGGCTCTTACATAGCGCATCGTCAACACCGTAGTTATGCGGTTTATTCTGGCAAGAATGAGCCCTGACTTGACTCTACACAAGGAAAGTTACTCCAGGTAGTGTTGGTAACTGACAACTAGACTCAGGGACCAGTGAAGTTCCATATCATGCGGAGACTTTAGGAACATTGCACCGCATGTGGCGAGGAAATGTTAGCTCCCTCGCCTGCTATGTAGGAGGTCGTCAGTTCGATCTCGACCCTGTTGCCTATATATTTGGAGTTTGCTTCTCTTCTCTCCCCATAGTCGCGTGGATATTTATCCGGGTCCTCCGATTTTGCCTTCCACATCTAGAATCAACAGGCATTTAGATTATTTGGCTCCCACTATAAATTCTGACACATCATGATGAAAGCCACATCGATGGGCTATTATGTGCGACCATGTCGCCTCTGAAAAAGAGCTCCTAGCCTAGTTGGCACAAATACAAAACTAGAGAGCTGCGTAAAACACAAGTCTAACGAGGGCACGCACCGTACCATTAGCGGGCACGAGCGTGGCACGAGGCTCGCGCACCGCCACTCTTCTGCATAGCGGATCCGCTCGGCAGTAACGCGCGCTCGCGTTCGGCTCCGGCGTGCGTCGCAACGCGGCACGGCGCGGCACGGGCAGACGGGTCGGGCGATGCCGCTGGCTCCCCGCTCGTGCGAGCTGTCAGCCTAATCAGATCGGCGATGATGAACGGCCGGCCCATTCCAACCCAGCGCGGGATTCCGTGGCGGAGCGCGGCGGCGCGGTGCTCTGCGACGCGGGAGCCTTGAGAGGCCTCATCCCCCCGCCTCCCTCTCAACGCTTCGCCGCCCTCTTGGCTTTGATTAAACAGCAAACACCGGCCGCGATGGAGCTGTCTGCTCCGGCCCCCGCCGCCATCATTCACGCGGCCTCGTTCGCTCGGCATAAATCCACCCGTTGGCAAAAAGAGGTTTTGTCGCGGTAATGCAACGATGTTAAAATGACAACCGGAGTCTGCTCCCCACTGGACGGTGACCTTCTTTGTCGACCGAGATCAGCGTCCAGCTGCTTAATCAGCTGAGGGCCGCTCTGCGTCCCGGCACATTGTCCCCGTTTGTCCAGCTGCGACTCGAGAGCACTCCACACAATCAGCGGCTCCGAATCTGCCCGACACAAGCCGCATCTTCTTCACCGCGGCGACCTGGCCGCTGCGCGCCCCCAGCGGACACAGCCACGCCGCTCGCCGTGATTGTGCGCCAACGAAGGTGGCCAATTTGAAATTGACGCCAGTGCCTTCAAAAGCGACATTAACTCAGCCCGTTGGCTGATGTCCCCCGCAGCTTATGCCAAGCCTGTGTTGTGCCTGCAAGCCCATTTTCAGAATGCGGGAATCGTCCAAGACAGTGCGAATGGTACAGCCTTCAGTCCTTGGGGCACGGGCTGCGACATTATTGGTTAAGTGAGCACACACCAAATGATATTGAGGAAGACGTTTAGGCGCTTCGTTTTGAAAGTGTGCCATACTTAACTTTCTACCTTATTAGTGTCCAAGCTTCACAGCTGTGGAGAGCAATGGTGTTATCAGGCAGCGGGTGCGGTTTGCCCGTAAGCCCACAACGTGAATTCCGACAAGTGTTCCAAGATTGCCAGCTGTGGGAAGCACACTTGGCCTACGCGCTATTTGGGTCAAGTGAACTCTCTGAGATGCCTGAAACGTGAAACTTGTTTCAGGATGTAATTAAAAAATAATAATGACGTGTACATTTTGGTTTTAGTTGATAACGATTCCATTGTTTCTCCTTCCAGAATCCAAGGATGGTACTGCCGACTTTAAAAGTAAACTAAACTATTGTAATACATTTACAAAATTTACAAAGTTGAGCTATGACAAATGATAGCTCAACGACGTGGATGATCACGTGCAAATGTATTGTAGCCAAAATACTCTAAACGCTCGTTGATTCTAAATGTGGAGGCGTTAGGGTCGGGATCTAACCCAAAACCACCTGCATACCAGGCGAGGGAGTTAACATCTCGCCACCGTGGCCCCCGTAAGCTGCACGTATGAAGGTGCGACGCTCGTGGTATATTGGCGAGCGTTCCGACCCATCACCGAGCAGAAGTAGAAGCAGCTACACTCAAAGCTGAGCGGCATTGCCGTGTACAAAAACTCTCGGCCTTCATCAGACCACCAGCTCAAAAGAACTGAACGTGTTTACATTTTGTTATTCAAATGCACCAACTCAAAGAATTGAGGAAATGTGGCCGTCCCAACAACAGGCACCAGTTTCATCCTTACTATGACTCGTCAGTACAGCACAGCCGTGAATATTAACTGCTGCTAATATGCCTCTGAGTTTCTGGTCTAAACATTAAAATGGCCACACATGCAGTTCTTTTGAGTTGGTGATCTAGAAAAGGCCGAGAGCTCCTATACACATATTTGTGTGTGTGCTGTAGAGTCTATTTGTTTTCGGCCTGCATTAAATGTTTCTGCTGTGATACATTTTCTCATCATTTAAAGATACGAACTTCGCCGATTAAAAAAATAAATAAAAAGACGAAAAGGCTTTACCCTTCAATTAATCGTCTTCATGCAAAAAGGGGCCCCGTGGGTAGAACTTGGCCAGCCACGTACACTCGCAGCAGATGGACGAGGCCTGGAGAGAGGTCGCCGCAGCCTCGCGGCAACACAGGGCTCACCGCCGACCCCCGACGGTGACGCCAGTCCCCACTCGCCACGCCGACACCTCGGCCGTAATGGCTCTTGGCGAGTGAGCGCACCGGGTGCCTTGCAGGTGCGCCGTCTAAGCCCCGAGGCACATATCGTGCCGGCATGCCAAACTGTGTTCATCAGGGCTTTGTTGAAACCGACGACGACGTCGACCAGTCCGCCAATCTGTGTCGGCTGGAGGAAGCGCCCAGCCAGCAGCCTCCACAGAAACTGTCGTCCCACCCCATAGGTGCGAGGTCCCCATTGAAAGCATGCCCGTGCTTTTATGCGCGTCCAGACGATTCTGTGTGTACAATTAGACCAATAGCTTTCTGATTTCACCGAAGTTTGAGGTCGTCCTTCTATTGTAAAAGGCTCTAAAAATTTACTTTGCCCAAGCCACTGGAAAGCTCCCGGGGTCCCATGAGTCTTTGGCAGGTGGTAAAGATGCCATGGCATGCTAGTTGATCCATTCATCAAGACCAACTATACCGGGTGATGTCTACGGCTTCAGTTTATTGAGAGCATCTTCTGATTTCAAAACGATAATACCTTGGTTCCTTTCTGGGTGTAGATCGGTGCACAAGTCCAACGAAACGGATTCAACAAGACCGATATCTCACTCTGCTCCATACACCGCACCACTTCCAGACAAAATACTAACTCACTATTCACATCCATGAGATTAAACGAGTCACTCTCTACTCCATACTACCCCTGCCTCCCATGTACTCTACTAACTCGCTCTACACTCCAGACGCAGCACATCGATGCAACTCACTGACTCGCAGTCTGTTTTCAGATGCCACCGTTAAGTTTTCCCATGTTTACAAAGTCAGCTTCAGGCGCTGTGCTCCATCAACTGCGCGCAATGAAAGCGGTTGTACCTGGCGTGCTGGGATGGAGCACCCGTGCATTAGTCTGGCGAGTGTGCAGCTTTCGAACCTTCAACAGTCTCGACGTGATCACATAAGCCTATAAACCGCACGCCGACGCTGACACCACGCTCGGGTCGATCACGAGAGCGGTAAATGACAAATACCCTCAACGGTTTTCTTTTATCCGACACAAGAAAGTGTGTCACAGCATTATAATTATTATTAAAATTCACAAGACCCACCACCCAGTCCTCCCTTCCTGGCCTTGTTCTGCTCAGGCGCTCTCAGCGAGTGTCTGATGGGGCCAGGCGTCTCTCCTTGCAACCGGACCGTACAATGCCCGGGCCGCGTTCCGGTGGCAAGTGAAATCCCGCCGTGCGATTCACCTCCCAATCTTTCAACTGCTGTCATAATTATTATTGTTTCTTCCTCTACCCATCTCCAGCCGGCACCGCTGCCACCCTCGCTCTCACCACTCATCGACCGAACCCCCCCCCCCCACCCCCGACAAGAACCACACAGAAACCTGCGACGCCGCTTTCACAAATCGGCCAAGCCTCGGGACAGCCGGGGAAAGCAATAGCCGAATTTATTAAAGGCTGCGATCCTGGACAAGGGGCACAGATGGGAGAGGCTCCCTCCCCACCCCCTCACCCCCCCCACGGCTAGCCCTGCCCCCTGCCCAAGAGCACGACTGATGCCGGTGTCAGTCGCAGGCTCATTATCCCGACGTTAAATATTTACCCAGGCTGATTCCCTGCTCTCCGAACCCATTTTGCCGGGCCCCCTGGATAACGGATACTGATTACTGCGAGGAGCGCAGGTTCCCTGAGCGAGCGCCAAGCGCATTAGCAGCAAACGCCCCCCCCCCCCCGGCCCCGACCACCCCCCCCCCCTCTTTTATACAAATGCCCTCCTGGCAGCATTAACTTGTCAGAGCCTTGTGAATCCGGCAATCACAACAGCTCTCGATTACACCGCAATTTGCTGCTCGGTGGAAAATGACACACGCGCTCGCACGCGGGGAAACATGGCCGCGGGAGAAGGGTACGCGCGCACAGATCGACGCGAGTGGCGTCTGCACTGAAAACAAAATTAGACGCCAAGGTTGGCGAAAGTGTTTGAGTGGACGGACACAACAGCATTCTCCCAATTGTTTTACAGCCACCATCGTTGCATGTGCACACGTAGATGTTTACGTCCACAAGATATGGGTTTGCAAATATGGGCTTTAGCGAAATTAGCTGGGAATAATAGAGAGAGGTGTGATGAAACCGAATACGAACAAAAACAAAACCTGCGAATGTGGGCGTGAACTTTACATCGTGACAAACGGCGGTGGACGGATGGAAAAACAATACTCATGGCTTACAGCGACGACGGGAAATTACGGTTAAAGCGAGACAAATGTGAGAGAGGTGGCTTCCAGCTGAACAAGGCCACAAGGGGGGGAGGGGTGATGTCAGCATGGGAGATGCTGGTGAAAGAAGAGTCCTTTCCCCCCCACGATTTATTTGTATACAACGAACACTGCTGCAAATTCCCATCAAAAGCAGCGACAAAACAAAAAACAAGAGCTCGCACGCCGACAAATCACGCGGCAGCACCGCGCTGTCAGCGCCAAGTCTGCGTCGAGGACACCGATGGGAGGGAGGGCTGCGAGGGCCGACACAATGAGCTCATCCTTACCTCCCCCTCCTCGTCATCCTCCTCCTCCTCGCCCTCCATGAGAAGGTCAAAGGGCACGATGGTGGTGCGCTCGCCGAAGGGGCGGCAGGGAGCACGCTGGTACGAGCCGTGGTGGAAGGCGTCCGCCAGGGAGATGGGAGCCGGCGGGGTGCAGGAGGGCAGCACCAGATGTTTCCTCATGACTGCGGCACACAGACAGGACGGAGGGGGACGCACGAGGATGTGCAGGACGGACAAGAGAGGTAGCGGGGGCATTCAGAGGGACGGAAGAAGGGAGAGAAGAGGGGATAATGAGGTGGTGATAAGAAGAGGCGAGGCAGAGCTTAGAAAAGAAGACGGGAACACGGAGAAAAGTGGGAGAGAATTTAGGAAGGGGAGTGGAGCATAAATGGAGGAAAACAATAGGCGTGGTGGAAAAACTTAAGAGATGATGCCGTGATATTTTCAGTGATGAAAATAAATAGTTACTGCATTTCCCAAATTAAATGCAGTGTCCCTTGCCAACACGTGCGAATCGAGCACGGCATTCTACGGTGCACGTGTCATCTCCACAAAGCAGTTGGCCGCAGCCAACGTGTTAACGGCCGTTCCGAATGAAGCGCAAGATTTCCCACGGTGTGCGTAGCCGGCCTTACGATTCCCGCTGTCACCATAAACCGGCCGTGCCAGCGCGAGCGTTGCCGCTCCAGTTTGCACGCGGAGCGCACCTGGACGGTGCTTCCAACACCGTCCCCATCGCACGTAAAATGAGGCTCCAAACTTTCGCTCAAGGTGAAGTTCACGGTGGTGCATGCTTCTACTGAAGACCTGATTTATTTTTTGACAATTTGTCATGGAATAAAAGCTCGAAAGTAAGCGGTACTTTTGCATTATTCATGCAAGATGAAAACAATAAGCATGTTATGTTTCGCTAAGCTTCGAGAATTATGGTTAGGGCTGCTCGAAAATTCTTGCAGGGCTCTAGGATTCCACACGCTGTGCGGGTGCCACGGTGCCTAAGCGGTGATATCAATGGCACCACAGCGGTCACAGATTTAGCGCACGGCGCCACTGCACACGTTTCTCCGCACGTCCAAGTCGACTTTGACGATGCACATTTTCACGGTCCTAACAATGTGCTGTGGATTTAATGTATTAATAACCTCTGAAGGAATGTGTTCATAAATAATACATGAAAAAGCCTTTGATCTGAAAAAGGATGACTGCTTGACACGACGAGTTTTTTTATTTTTTTAATTCATTCAACCACACGGCAAAATAACGCGGTGAACGTGCGAACGGCGCGTGCGGTTATCTGCGCGTGCACGTGGCGTGCGGTGCTTGCGATGCAATCGGTCATTCCGTTAACCGGACACCCCCCACTGCGGTGGTCATTTACTTTGTTAACAATTAGAATCGTACGACCATACTTCACCACGCTGGATGATTCAGCTGGGTTAAAGTGTGGGACGAGAAGGAGGAGGCAAGAACCGTTCCACATATCGATGACAACCGTGGCTGGGAATGGAAGTCAGAAATAACCTCAATGTGAAAATCCGTTTTGGTAATTAACTGTGCAGCACAAGTGCAGGACTCGGCACTGACCACTCGGACAGCGTGCCAAGTTCAAGCCCGAGTTATTTGAACACATGGGTGTGTTTGTCGAGTCATGGGTTGGGAAGGTACCCCCCCCCCCTCCTCTACCCCCCACCATCCCCGGGCCTCACCTCGGTTGGCCCTTTGCAGTTTGGCGTAAATGTCGGTGGAAGGGGCGCCCAGAGGACGTGGCATCACCACACCCCCCTCCTCGCTCTCGTCCTCGCTGCCGCTGCCGCTGCTGCTCTCCGTCAGGAAGACGTCGGGCAGCGCCAGCTCCTGCTGCGTGCGACGCGAACGGTGCAGAGCCGGCGGTCGAGGGTTGGAGGTGGGGGAGAAAGGTCGAAGGTTAAGCGCCAGATCAGGAGGGAGGGATTAAAGCAGATCGTTGTTTAAGCCACGCAGTGCCAGTCGAGATGTGTGGCCTTGTTAAGTTTTAATTAGCATCTGTGATTGCTGTGCATCTGAATGACGTAAAATGTGTGTATGTGTGAGCGCGTGTGTACGTTGTACGCTCGTTGTTGTGAGCGATGCTCACAACAACGAGCGGAGCACCGGGCAGCTAAAACACAGCAAGTTGGCACAGTAGGGGGCACAGGTGATGCATCGGCCAGCCATCTCAGTCAGTCGACCCATGGCACCTGGGTCTGCCCTGTGACCTCCTGCCAGCGGGCGTTCGACACTTCACGTGGCATCAACGTGCACATAGCCTGGCACAGGCACAGTGGTGACGTCATCGCCACTTAGTAGCGAATGGCGGTTGTTGTTGTTGTACAACGTAGCAGCGTTTAGCGCGCTACAACGTAGCTACAACGTAGCAGCGGTTAGCGCGCTGCACTACAAACCCGGCGACCCGAGTTCGATACCCGCTCACGGCCAACACCGGTGACCATTATCTGAACCAGTTCTGGGCCTCCCCTATGTCGACTCAGCCTCAAATGAGTAGTTGGTGCGATGTGTAAACATCGCCACTGGGAAGACAACAGCGGGCAGGCGACCGTGGTGCTGGCCACCCAACCCCTCGTGTGGCGCCTGCCTCCATAGGTGCTCGCTAACAGCGCTTGCCCAAAAAGTCTGTCAAGGCTACACGGGGGATCTTTGCCTTTGTATGTTGTAATTGTTAAGGACTTTAAGCCGAGCTTCATGGCAGTTCGTCCAAAGCTCCTTGCCCTTCCACAGACCGCTGAAGCTCCATCACATTTGATCATGACAAAACAACTCTGAATGTGGTCCCAGATCTCATGAGATTTCTAAATCTATGCATGTTTGAGCATGGCCACTACCCGAATGGAAAACGATCTTGAAAATCCGTGTGTGAGAGGCTTGGGCTGCGAGGTGGCCAGAAGATGGGAGTCCAGAAATGGATTCTTGAATCTATTTATTATCTTTCACTATTATCATTACACTTTTTTTACTCAGGAAAGCTTCGTAGAGTCTCATAACTTTTATTCAGGATAGTCCGCGGTAGTTACCAGGGCGGCCACTAGACTCGACCCGCGGAACCCTCGCAGCGTGTGCCGCGCCGCCCCCTGACCCACGCGAAGCAGCTTCGAGCGTTACCCCCATGCACGTGGCCGGTTCACCCTTGGGCGCTCTAGCTTTCGTCGCGCGTAAACGCGGGGCGTCATCACCGCGATTATTACGCCAGTTAGCGGACGAAACGATGGGGACGACGCTCGGTGGAGGAGGCGTAATGGGTGAAGACGGTGTCGTATCAGGTGGAAATTTGGCGGGCTCCGTAATCCGTGACGCCGTTTGGATATTCCCCACGCGGGGCGTAACTAACAACGCGAATACGACCGCTGCAGCGCGAGCGCCGCGCTCTCTCCAAACGACACGGACACGCGCGCGGGAGGGGCATGTCGCCCCTTCGCCGGTCTGCATTAGTCACACGACTGCTGTTGGAAAACGACCGAAGGCCAGCGAGACTCGCAAGCGCGCTCCTTCCCCCGCGCGTGCGCATCGCGGTGTGAATCGTGACGATGAACGGAGTGAGCGTGCGCGCCGAGACTCGCACACACCGACGACGGCGGATGCTCCCCAGGCCCCGCTCTGCGTCGCGAGCCAGACAAAGTCCTGCCCGTTCTCGAGACACTTTCATTTTTTTTCTTTGGGGGGGGGGGGGGGGGTGTGGGGAGGGTGCCACTGCTGTATCGGGACTCGGAGAAAACCCAGCGCCACGGTGTATACAAGGAGGTGGCACCCGGCACTGCTATCTTCTGGCCACACCATGCCTACAGCACCTGGCAAGGCCTGGTGGTGGTCACCCGTCTCCGTGTTTACCAGGCTCAACTCTGCTAAGCTTCTGAAATCCAATGATATCTGGTGCATTCATGGTGATTCGGTAGTAGACACGTACTACAAAGAAGCCGTGAACCTACACTTTACCCCAACACCAAGTTACACAATTTGGATACATATAGCATCCAGATGCGACCACATGTAACAACGCAGTACAAAAACAAGACGAGGATATTAAGAGTGTGTTGATATTGAACAAGTAAAAGTACTACTGTCATCAAAGTGTGCTGCCTGCTGCCGACAAGTGTTGAAGAGCCTGAAATCGCCCTGCTCCAGACAAGGTGCCAACTACGAGCGATCAGCTGCATGGGCGAGTGCAGCAGAGCACTTCGCGACGATGGGTTCAGAAAAGCTCGAGACGGAGAAGTTTGAATTGCAAATAGGCTCTCACCTGTTTAAAAGGGGGCGCATCGTTATCTGGAGATAATTAATTGGAGCGTGTGCTCCCCAAGCCAGACGAAGAAGCCGTGCCCCAAGAAGTTGTGAAAAAAATTGTTTGCGTTGGCTGCTCCAGACGGAGCAAACTGCTTACTTCTGTGGCGACGGAGCAGGCGGTCACTCGAGAGTGCAAACACAAACACGTGCCCCATACGTCACTGGCGTCAGAATTCACTGGGCACCGACTGCTTAAATAGTTTGCTTGCCAAAGCGCCGCTATTCGTCAGCTACCGGCAGACATTTGTCACTCCACAACACACCGCCCGCGCTCCAGATCTATATAATTATTCGTCAATGAGACATTTCTCCGGCGGGTGTTTTATATTTTTTGCCACATGGCTTTGTCGCGTTTTTTTTTTTAATTCTGCTCTAGATCATTGGCCTCACTCTCTCGTCATTGGCAATTTTTTTTTTATCTGATCCCATTTTTGACAATAACATGCTGGACATTGTCTCCGTCATCAACAATGGGCAGAGAGGTCACGTGGGCTGCCGTTTTTTGCCAGGGTAGCGATATTGGCCAGATTTATCTTTGAGTGTTATCGCTGTAAAATTGACATTTTAAAATTATTAATTGTGGCAATCGTGATTGTTGTCTTGTGTTTTTTTGTTACCCCCCCTTTGCCCCCCCCCACCTCCCCTCCTGAGTCTTTCTTGCAGGAGGAGCACTGTTTCCGTGTCCCTTACCTGCATCCCTGCATCTAAATGAATGATTTATTGATGCTGCTGCTCAACTACTGGTAAGTTGAAGGTGACTGCCTATTTGGCTTTTATCAGAATAGATGATGGTACAGAGTATGGTGTGTGGCCATGTGGAAGATATTTAATGACAAAAACAGCTAGTTCTACTCCATATTATACTCCACCATCATCATCATGATCGTCATCAACATGATCATCATCATCACCACGGCCGCCACCATCAAAAACATCAATCCACTATTATCCACGAGCCTCGCGGTTATGTCTTAGAATCTGTGGCAACGAGTAGCTCTCTCAGCTCAAATCGGCACCATCTGCTTCTGGCAGGCACTCGGTAGAAGGCAATCTGGCAATTTGGTAATTGTGAGTAATTCTTTAACATTTGGCTTTCAGGCACCCTGGCACGCGTTGGCCGACAACTGGGACCGATGTCCCGGGATCATTCACGGTGATGCAAAAAAGCAGATGGTGCTCGCGTTTCGATAACGTTGCTGCCGGCGCACGGCCCTGAAGTGGAGGCCGGGTTTAAAAGGCTGACCCCTGAAATCGAACGTCTCTCAGCTGCTGCCGGTGGAGGTGAGAGGTGCGTTGAAAGCCACGATGCTCGGAAGACGTTTTATGGCAACGATTGTTGGCGGCTGTCACCGGCAACAATTAGCGCGCCGTTTTAAACTGTAAATACATTTTCATTGCCCAAGCTTGAACAGATCTGATCGCTCCTGGTCCGTGTGGGCAACGTGGACGGCAACCTCAAATCATACCACGGGCAGGGGTCACGTGACCACCACGTTCATGCGCTCTGCAGATCAATTCGCTGCTCATCAAATACACAGGTAAACAATCACAGGGGGCCTTCACCGGCTTGACACAGCGCAGTCACTCGGCGGCACGGCCATGCCGTTTGGCCACAGTCACTCGGACCGAGATGCCGCAGTGCGGTAATGGTTGGCACCCTGGGCTGGTGATCCGGAGGTCGCCGGTTTGATTCGATCCCCCACCGCGCCTCTGTCCACGCAGTAGTATAAATGCGTACACTACTAGTGGGATAAAGTGTGCATACTTCTGCTTCTTCCTAGGCGTCTGGCTAGCGTGGAAGAGTAGACCAAATTACCCTCTCTCTCTGTCTCTCTCTGGGCTCCCTCGAGTGGAGGCCCCTGCGGCGAACAGTGGCAATTGCAGGGCTGCACCTTGACCCTGAACGCATTCTACTCACAGCGACCGCATCGCCGATGATGACCACCGGCGACGTCCGCTAACCAGCTATCGTGGTGCTTCGGGGGGAGCGTTTATGGGAGTGAAGCTTGGCGGGCGGGCGGGCGGGCGGGCGGACCTGTGGCATGGCGAGCGGCAGCCGCTTGAGGCCGAGCGGCGCGGAGCGCCCCCCCAATGCCGGTGCTCGCGAGCGCAGCAGAGCCCCGCGGTGCGCGGCCACCGCCTCCTCCTCCTCCTCCTCCTCTTCGTCGTCGTCGTCGTCACCGTCGGCTCGCTCTGTGCCGAGCGCCGCCGCCGCCGGCAGCTTGACGGGAACTTCGCGGTGATGATGGGCGGAAGGGGGGAAGCCGGCGCGGTCCGCACGGAGAGCGAGAGAGAGAAAACTTGTGAGAATCAGCAGAGACTTTTGACCCTCCAGATGCGGTTTGTGGGTAGGACCCCGTGCTGTTCGGCACAATGTCCGACGTTTCGTTCCACGCGCTGGAAGCTTGTTCAGGGAGTGAGTAGAAGAAGCTCCCAGCACGTGGAGCAAAACGTCAGATATCATGCCGGACAATGCGCAGAATGACCCGGACACACGTGGGAGAGCTGTAACAGCAACACAACCGTGAAGTCACATGTGGTGTTCTGCCTTATTGGGTGTCTATGGGTGTCTATGTGGTGTTCTGCCATTTCGCAATATTTTCTTGGGTGCAAAGGAGAATGTCTGTTATTTAAATTAAAATGTGCCATGCCACAGCATTTCCCGAGCACGTGCGTGCTGGAAATCACTTCGTTTCCAATCTGTATTCTCCAACGCCATGGTGTTTCAAGAGAGGAGGGTGCCAGAAATATATACGAGAGCTCCATTAGGTTTAATATTCATACAGATGTACTGTGCGTACTATGAACGGTTTTATGGCAGTATTACAGGTAATGCATTCTGTAATGTATATTGCAGGAGCTTACTGCAGAGGATGGATTTTTGTCAGTGTCTTTGCTTTAATAACCTTGCTATGATAAAGTTTTTTTGCGGTACGATTCCACTCCTTCTCTCGTCCTCTCTATTTCTGTTTTTCTAAAAATGTTCCCTCCATTTCTTGATATAAAATGTCTCTTCTTCTCTGTCCATTTTCCTCTCCTGTGCGAGAGTTGCTCCTCTTTCTGTTGCCTCTTTCACTCTTTTCTGTCTTTTCCGCCTTTCATGCTGCCAGCTCCACACCATTCCAAAATTTCGCCTTTCCTCCTTCCCTTCTCATTGCTTGACATCGCTCTATCTGTGTTTCTCACTACTTATTTATCTTTCATTCATTACGTCCGTCCATCTTTCCATCATTCTGTCTATTAATCTGCGTCAAAGTCTGTCTTGTTTCTCACCCTGGCGCTCAGTCCGTGTGTCAATTTATCGATCCACGTGTCCGTCCGCATGTCCGTCTGTCCGTCCGTCCAAATGTCTGTCTGTCCATCCGTCCCATCACAAACCTGCGATGACGGGCTTGGGCAGGCGACTTTGCACTGCCCTCGAGGCGCGCGCAGCCATGCTTGGGTCGGACAGCGAGTGACTCATCCTGTCGGCGCCGTCACCCACGCAGCCCCCTCCGCCCCCCACGCCCGGCGCCGTCTCCCGGTCCAGCGTTTTGGCCTTCCCGGTGCCGCCGCTCATGCCCACTCCCCTCCCGCCACCTCCCGCCGGTGCCCCAGGCTGGCCGTGGACGGGCGCGGCCGGCTGCTGACACGGCGGCTGAAAGGTGGCACGTGGCTGCTGTTGCTGCTGCTGCTGCTGCGACGGCGGGGGCAGCGCGCGGCGAGCGGAGCCGGGGGAGGCGGCCGGAGGTGCGATGTCGGTAAACTGCATTGCATTGTGGGGCTGCTGCAGGGTATTGTGGGACTCGGGCTTGGCCCCGCGGCGGGAGGAGCTGCGCCCCACACCTCGGCCGGAGGGGTCCGGTGGGGGGAAGGTGCCGATGCCACTGTCTAGGGTTCGCATCTGGCAGTGAAAGCCTGAGGGGGAGACACGGGGAAGAGGGGAAACCGGAGGTCAGGCACGCGCGTGTATGGCGCAACGTTGCGCGTTAGACCGCCACGTATCCGTCCTTATCAATTAAAATGTTTGCAAAATCCGAAGTTTTCACATGCAGTCATGTGATCTTAATCTCGCGTGCGTTCGCTCACAAACTAGAGTGAAGCATTCCCCCACATTTAGAGCTGTTTGCACTTTATTTTTGTCCGGAAATTTGTGCGCTAACCGATGCACCACCGCTCCACCAAATTGTCTAATTATTGTACATATGCTTTATAAATATATACAATGTATCGTTACCCGTGTGTATATAAGTAATAGCGATCATACAGCATGTCTAGCGTGTATCAGGTTACTGCAACAAGATGGAAAATGGTAAGGCGGACGCTTTTAGCAGAAACCGACTGACGTGCACAATGTTGGGACTAAGTGGGTCATCATCATCATCATCCACCGTGCCGTGGCCACAGAGTCTCGGACTGCCCCTGAAGTGCCCGGGGTCAGCACGAGCAGTCTCGTGTGACGCTCTTGATGGAATGTTCACGCAGCGATCGGGGTGCGGGCGCAGCAGAAACCGGATTCGCCGAGAGTCGAAGAAGCCTGCATGCCCGAAGCCAGGCCCTCTCTGACGCGTGTGTGTGGATGTTGAAGCGAGCAACAATTCGCCGCTTCCACGGCTCGACGCTTTGCCGCGATACGACGGCGCAATTCGATTCGCGGAGCGATCATGAATTCGTAAGATTTCTGTGAAGAATTGTGCGTATGTGTTTAACTTCTTTCGCACCGTACGTAACCAACCGAGATAATTGTAGGTGCAGAGGAAGGACAACAAATTAAACACACAAAAAAGCAGTTGTAAAAAAACGAGTATTCAATCTAGATTTAAGAGTGCATAGCTCCAGTGGCTTCCTTCCATCGAAGGTATGTAAAATAACACATTGTAAAATAGCGTATTCATCAGCAGCCATCATCAATCCACTGCTGGCTAAAAGCCTTCCCAAGCCAAACTGAAACTAACTGCATTGCTGTACTGTCGCTGGACGCAGGCTACACCAATCCAAAGTGCTGCCAATACAAACTATTGCGCAATTACAAACACACTGCAGCCTGTGAAATAAAGGGTGCATTGAGCATAGCTGATAACAGTGAGCAATTATTAATTCCATGAAGACTTTTGCATTCGCTTCTATTTAATCTATTTAAAAGTTGTATATGTGTTTGCAATGTAGCCCCCCACTGCGTGGGCAATATTGTTTACCAATTTCACGAACAGATTCACTGACGCAAAAGCAACGCATTTTTACTGTGCACGTGTTTGTGTTTTTAACTCTTAACATTGTCAGGAGTAATAGTGCCACGGTGGTGGTGTGGAGATGTAATCTCCCTCGCCAGGTACGCAGGAGGTTGTTGGTTTGATCCCGGAACCTGAAGCGCCTGTTGTGTTCTCTCTCTGCCTGTGGTGGCCATGTGGATTTTTCTATGGGTTCCTCTGGTTTTGCCCTGCACATTTAGAATCAACGTGCGTTTAGATTATTGGCTGCTTCTATGAATTCCCACGTAATGATGATGATGATAGCAGCCGCTACGATAATGAGCTATCACCACGTGTGGCCAGGTCACCTCTGAGAAAAAAGGTAATAGCTCAGTGAGCTTTACCTGATAAGTAGAAAAAAACATCTATTTCTCTTCATTTCCTTCCCATTTTGTAGAACATAAAAGCGACAAAGCGAATTAACAAATTGATGCATTGTTAATGAGGACGGGGATTTCACGTGGCGGGCGCACGCAGGATTAAGGAAATTCCGCAGACGGCGATGGTGGCGACGGCGGATACGCTTTTATTCTCACCGTGGCGAGAGCGCCGGTGGGGGGTGGGGCACGCCGGAGATTAAACGCCACCGCTGCGCAAAGGAACGGCGTCCGCTTCTGAAAATCCAGGCGAAAAGCTCAAACGCACGACTCAATTTGCCGAAATGAAACCTGCCGCAGCGATTTACTCATGCCAAATTAAAAACGCGCCACTCGCTGCACGAGTCGAATAAGAGCCCTTCAGTGTAACATTCATTAGCCACTCTTTTTCTTATCCCATTCACGAAAGCAAGGATGAAAAAAAAACACGCGCTCCACAATAGGACAATTCAATCACCTAATCCCCGTTGAGGAGACGTACATCATGCAAATAAGTGAAGGGAAGGGGGGTTGACGCTCGTGGCTGTTATTGCAGAGTGTGCTCGTGCGCGCGTGTGTGTGTGTGTTTTAAGTGGAGCGTTAGAGACTAAAGTGTGAGCAACTTTCAAGCTCAAATTTATTTTGTTTTGGCGGCTGAGAACTCGAAGAGACCAGGACAGAGTCTCTCCTGCAACAGTGACCAGGGTCACCAAAATGACTAAACCCCAAAAAAATTAAAAGCATAAATTGTCACGTGAGAATTTGAAATTACTGCGCAGACACAGTGGAGCTCACGCTGGCCATTAAATTCGCCGCGTGTATCTTCTGTCGGCTATCCGCTTCCACGCTGAGCTCTCAGCGCGAGAGACATGATACTTATTTAATATTTAACATTATAAATAATTTGGGATATATATAAAAAAAAGCTATCAATCATATCTCAATCACGGCTACTGAAATCTAGACGCAGAGATACGTAGATGCCAGTCACCAAAGCTTCCACGGATAAAAGGGGCGTGCATCGGAACGGAGAATGACCCTGGGACGTGGCATCGCAAAACATCCTCCCGGCGTCTCCTCCACCAGTGGCCTCTTTCTCCCCGTCGGTAGCATTGTTAAGGTTTTCCAATTATAAGTTGTAGGACTCACTAATTATTTAGTACCACCCCGACCTCACACGTTTGCACGTGCAAATTATCGGAATGTACAGAATTAACCAACCTTGCAATTTAACTGCCACAATTAGGGGTAACATTGCTTTTTATCTTTTAAGACATTCTGGTGAATGTTGTGCCTCTAGTGACCACAGGGGAGGGGGGCGTACATCATATACGAATTAAAAATGATTGATATCCCACACAAACAATTAAATGTATGCATCGTGGCCATAATAATGAGTGGTTCAACTTGCGTGTCTACCATTAGTTCCTAAGCCCTGAGCGATTCGTGTGATGTTCTCTTTACGCACAACCACTGGCGAAGATGAATCCCTCTACCCGAGCCCTGGAATAATCCCGAGCGGCCATCCTGGGCTCAAACCCTAAAAGTCAGCTGCATGAGTTCCGTACGGACGCCAGTTACACACTACGAGCCTCTGAAAGCGATGACGTTTTGGACACACAGGCTGAGCGAGCATCATGCTACTGCTTCAACCTCCTGCGTGGGAGAACACCAGGAAACCAAGGGCCCCCGGCCTGCTGTGGTGGGAGATGCAAACCCAGCTCCTGTGCACATTCAACGCGACATCGTTTTTTCCCCTTCTTTTCTCTCCTGCACTAAACGCCAATAAATACATTCACCGTGGCAATCCTGAAAATTTAACGGGAACATAAAAGCGAGAAGCCGAGCGAGCGGACGAGCGAGCGGGATGCACGCTGTGTAGCTCCGTTAATAACCCGGGCGCGTGGCGGTGATTTCTTGCTTTCCCCATTAAAGTGAGTAATCATGTGCCCGGCGCTTGTTCTCGGAAGGCTCGGTAGCACAGTGAGACCGCGCGAACGCGCCGCATATGCCATTTAATCGTAGCGCCATTGGCCATCGCGAGCCCCTTTCCCGACGGCCGCCCGGGGTGAGGCACGTTGAGCTTCCGAAATACGTCCTCGATGACAAATGTGACCTTCAAAGAAAAGTAATGGGGAGAAGGGGAAAAAAGAAATCTAAAACTAAGAGATGGTTATAAAGGAAAAAAATACCACGTAAAAGCCAGGGACGGAACCCAAATCCGAGCGTCCCGCGAGAGCGCGGGAGGGGCAGCGTCGGCACGACGACATGGGGTCCAGAGCGTCGGCACGGCGACGTGGAGCCCAGAGCATTAGCAATGCCGCAGGTTAGAGGGTCAAGGGAGGCTCGGATATCTGAGATTTAAATCTTTATGGGGATCCACGAGCCGAGAGCATGATGGATTCGGCCGCTTCCGTAATGCGCACAGCCACTCCTGGGTGGAGCGGCGATGGTGGCGATTGCGCGCGAGTGGCTAAAAGCGCCCGAAAACTTAACTCGCCGCCGCGCTCGCTCCGAGACCGCCCGGCGCCGCGACCCGTGCCCTTGGCTTTGTCTCCGCATCCCTTCCCTCCGCCGCGGAATGACCATCACTTTTTCCGTAGCTGGCATCGCGACTCGCCCATCTGTCTCTTCTGAACCCTGCACACCCCTCCCCCGCTACAATCTCTCTCTTTATCTCTATCGCTCCATTTTAATGCACGTCGCGCAAAACCTTCAAGTGGGAGGAAACGGGAGAAGGCAGAGAAATCTCACCACGTGTACGCGGCGGTCACACTCGGCACCGTCATCTCACTTCCATCTCGCAGGCGCCAACGCCTACTCCAGCTGGAACGCCCCGGTTGGTCACCCGTCCGAGTGTTTAGTTCGCTGTCCTTCCCCCGCACCTCCGATTTAGCACGGTCGGCCACGTGCGGTGCGAAAGAAGTTTAACATGCTTACGTACATAACCAGGCTCAACCCCGCGTTGCTTCGATGAGATCCGGCTCATTGAAAGTGATTTGGCTCTCGGCGACCCTGGCTGTGTCCGTCTGAGTGACAATCACCCAGACTTAAATCAGTCTGATTGGCGTGGGGATTTACAAACCGCGAGCTGGCTTCACAGAGAGCACCGAGTCAGCACAGCTGGGGATTTAACAGAGCGCACGCATTCCCGCGTGTGTGCGTATGTGCATGGGTGGCGAGCGGCAGTGTCGTGGTTAGGGCACTGCGCTACAGATTCTGCGACCCGAGTTTGATTCCCGCTCAAGACTTTTAACGGTCACAATTATATTAACCGGTTCTGGGCAAGTCCGAGGTGAACTCGGCCTTAAGTGAGTCCTGGGTGCGGTGTGCAAACGTCAGCAGTGGGGAGACAAAAGCGGCCAGGTATGGCATTTGGCCCCCCTTTTGTGTGCCATGCCAGCTTCCAAAGGGGCTCGCGAACAGCACTCGCTCCAACAGTCAGCGTAGGTTACACGGGGGATCTTTGTCTTTGTGCGTGCATGCAAACACAGGTGTCCATTAGTGACGTGCGCACGAGAGCATTTGTATTTGAGCTCACGTGTAGTTTTGTGCGTACCCGTGCTCGCGCCAGTGCTCATTCGTGTGTACGCGCACGCACGCGCCTACACGCACGTACACACCGCAAAGTCCCCCCCCCCCCCGCCACCCCCCACCCCGCGTCTACCTGCTGCGTGACTTCTCGCAGATTCCCCAGCAAGCGCCGTCTCAAGCGTGAGCGTGGCTTCAGAGCCGTCCCCACCCTCGCCCACACGCTGAGCCACAGCACGCGCAGACAGAGCAGAAACGAGGAGAGGGAGGGAGGGAGAGGAGAGAGGGCCAGAGAGGAAACGTGGATGGGCGTGCGTGCGTGGGTGCGTGCGTGCGTGAGTGCAGGAGTGAACCAGGACATGGGGGGGGAGGGGCGGGTGGGGGGGAGACCAGGGAGGGAAAGCGTGGGTTAATGAAGCAAATGAGTCGATGGTCATTAAAGCAGTGACTGAAGCAGACAAATCAAATCCAAGCCGATCATCGCCAAGCCAACACAGGCCGTCGAACGTGACATCACGCGCAGCGTCGTCAAAAAGGCGATGGCTGACACATCGCCGATCGATCATCAAGTTGCCAAATGCCGAACGTCCTAAATGTTTTAGACGAGCAAATAACAAATGGTCCCATGCCGTGGTGCGCGAGATAAATGACATGGAACAAAAACTTTTGCACAAAGGAGCTTGCCGCGTGCCAGCGGTCGTCCGCCGACGTTGAACGACGGCACGGTGATTGGGTGGCGCTGGTGCCAGACACTCCGCGGCTATCTCTCGTGAGCAGCAGACGGGCACTGTGTGGACACAGCTGTCTGGGGTGTGCGGGCTCGCCCACGGGTCCGCCCGTCGGCCTGTCCGTCCTTCCGTCCTGCGGGCTTGTCCGCCCAGCGCCCCCAGCGACTGGACACCCCAGGTTTAATGACCTCAGTAATGGAATGCCTCCTTCTCATTGGAGAAAAGTCCAAGCTGAAATTGCACACCCCCGTGGTTGTTGTACTGACCACTTGCACGCACTCCACCTTTGTCTTTGCATATTATTTCACTGTCACCTTCGTGACTGAGGAAAAAAATAAGTTTCAAAGCATCATCTGGCTACCATGAGAGATTCGTTCATGAGGCTATCCACATATACAAGCACAGAGACAATTTCAACCGAGAAGATGGATTCTGGCTTAGCAATCATTGGAAGGATTTGATAAACCATTTCAGGTCTTAATTGATTGTTCACGCTTACGGTGGCTTTCAGACAGCACACATTAATTTTTCGTCTCCCCCCTCCTCTTTTCAGAACATAGATGGACTAGTCCTTCTAAATAAACTGCCAAATCGCTGCGCGTGGCGCTGACGTTTTTTATAAATAAACACACCGCTTATAAATAAATAAATGCAAACCGACACTTCTTTCAAATGTTTCTTGCCGTTGGTTTTTCACACCTGATGACGACCGTTTGTGTTATGGTCGAAACGTCGTGAGAATTTTTATTGTTTTATATATATATTTTATTATTTTATTGTTTCCCTTCAAAGTGACTTTACCGAAAGAGCTAAGAATATGAATATAGATAAAGGTGTTTGTCACACGTCGTGACCACACTTCATAGACGAGTTTTTTACTTATTCTTACCAAAACTTCCCCTCTCCCTACGTCACTCCCGGCGTCAAGACCACCGTTTCCACCTCATCATAATGGCCACATCAGCTCCTCTCGTGCCGCTCCACCTGCGTCCGCTAGACCCCACGCCATTCCCCCTACGTCTGCCAGACCGCGCCGTTGCATGCCGCTCCGTCGCTGCAACAGACACGTTGACACAGTTTTGTTCCCCGACAGAAACAGAGTCTCGTGAGTTCCTTGGGCCTGGTTTCTTACGACGCGTCATCGTGCCGTGCCGCGTGCTGCACGGCACGATGTCCGACGTTCTGTTCCACAATTGTGGGAAGCGACGGAGCATGCGGAGCGAAAACGTGGACAGAACAGTGATGCTGTTTTGGTTGCATGGGAACGACTTGGTGTTGCACGACGGGGCTTTGACCGTAAGCGTCGGCGGTGCGACGGGTCTGCTTCCTCCCTCTCACCTTCATGCCGATAGAGACGACTTAATATTCTAGCAGGGAAGCTGCCCCACCTGTAAATGAGTTACCATGGTGCACATGCCTCGCTAGGGAGTTCCACTGCGTCCGTATGCATAGAATCATACCCTGGCCTGGTGTGGGACACCGAGAAAGTAAAGAGACCGGAATATGCACGTGTTCGTGTCTCACGTGCGGCTGGGCAGGTAAACCCGGTATTTGTCCTTGTTAAATTACACGCACGGTGACATTATAATTCTCAGGGTACTATTTAATGAATTCGAAGCTCCAAGAGCCAAGGGTATTTAACCAAATACCGAGACTCATATAAAGCTTTGAATCCACCAAGAGCCAGTTTACATGTTCAAGTGTTTGAGCATATCTGCTTCTAGGAGGTACGTGTGTTTATGAATAGAAGGTGCACCTAGCTTCGCACAAACGCCGGTGGTTACATCACCGTCACTTAGTGGCGAACGGCGGTTGTTGTTGTTGTTGTTGTTTATGAATAAAGAGATGTGAAAGAAGAAACACACAGGTGGCCAACAGAGACACAGATGAAACAAAAACACATTCACTCTCACAAGCAACTAAACAGAGACCCGCACAGACACCGAGACAGACAGAGAGAAACGAGCAGATACACAGAGAGACAGAGAGGCAGGCAGGCAGAGTGCGGGGGATGCATGATGGCCATGTACCCCGAGGTGGTTGGGCTGTCTTCGCGGGATCTTGGGTGACCACTCTGACAGCTGCAGGGCAGAGGACTCCTCCTGCTCCTGCCTCCACACGCCCAGGAGCTCCCCATCGCTGCCTCGTCCCGGACCCTTCAGCAGCCCCACCTGCAGGAGGGCAGCACACGGGGGTGGCACGGGGTGGCACGGGGTGGTGGGGGGGGGGGAGGGCGGGTCAGCAGGGAGCCCTCTTGGAAGTTGTTACGATGACCAAATGTGATCTCCTTTCATCTCGGGTCGTTCATTGTTCATCCGTACCCAACTGAGGCTCGCGGCTGACGCACATCGCAAACTGCGATGAGCGTACGTTTATTTAGCTCGGCTTTTATTTGATGCGTGGTGCGCATAAGGTGGCATGGGACATTATGCCTGACAAAAAATAAAATATATTCATGAGAATTAAAGTTTACTATGTTTGCTCAATATTCAAGAATTGCCTTGGAACTAAAATTGGATTTCTTTCTACACAGTTCTATTACATAGTATTTGCTAAGTGTGGATTACATTGAGAATGAATAAACTCAAGACGCTGGTCAGCATGTCCCCAAGCTCAGCTGCAGCACGACTCTTTGACGAAATTAATTCCACTACTCCGCGGACATCGTAGAGACCCAAGCGGTCCACACATCCTGCAAGTTAAAGCTAATCCCCGCGCTGCGATGCTGGGGAAGAAGGCAATTTATTTCTCCCTGATCCATTTCCAGTCCTTTCGATAAACACTTTCTCTTTTACTTCCACATTGATTACACAGGCTTAAAATAATGATAATTTAGAAACTAATCGGTTTAATTCTTGACTGAATAGTACAAGGCTCTCGCCGGCTGTCTGTGGTAGAGCACAGACAGGTTCTGGTTGCCGTGGTAGTAGCACTTGGGGACACTTTGCAGCATCTCTCCAAACAAATGAAACCAAAGCGCACACATCGCTGTCAAAACAAACCAAAAACACAGTAAAGCGCTTAGAAACAAACAGTTTACTATCATCAACAAAGCAGACGATTTTGTGTTTCGTTTTTTGAAAGTGTAATTTTCAAGAGCCCCTTCATTTCTCCAGTGCTGTCTTCGAGACAGCCTGGTCCCTTCACCTGATGAAGGCCGCTTGTGTTGTGGCCGAAACGTCGTGATTTGTTGTTTTATTTTTTACCTACGTGACTTTACCGAATAGAACCAAAGAGTAAGCCCCTTCATTGCTACCTCTTCAGAACAAGTGGCACTGTACGGAGCCAAGATGACTCCAAATTGGTGAGCATTAAGCGCAACAATAACAATGGGAATATGATGAGCACACAGTACATCACCAAGCTGTATTTACATATAATCGACGTGAAATCAACACGTAATCTACATGTGTAATCGACACGTAATCCACATGTAATCGACATATAATCTACATGTAATCTACAAGCGGCACTCATCTCAGCAGCAAGCCGTGTGGCCCACAGTGATGGATTCTTACTTGCACGAGTTTAGACGTGTAGGAAAAGGCATAATAATGTTCAATCAATCTACATGGCACGCACACGTGTTTTTATAGCTCATGCCTTTGTCCGTCCACCGCACAATGAAGGCTTTCCAATGCCGTGTCGCTCACGGGGGTCGCTTTTGCACAGACTTCAACCTTCCGGTCGATGCGAGTCGGTGAAGGGGAGGAGGTTACCCAGTAAAATTATGTTAGCCGTGGCCAGCATTCAAACTCAGGTCTCACCGATTTCAAGAGTGCAGTGCACTAAATACTGAAGCAAAGGGGGCATAAATTGCTGCTCAGTTATCATCACTCTCTACTGCAGGATCTAGCGCATGCCCTCGAGCGTTTGTGGAATGCAGTGAGAGCAGGCGAACGTTGCTGTGCCAGTGGGAATTTGTCACCCGAGAACGAACAGAGCAGTTGGTGTGCTGCTTGGGTATGAGTCAGGATGATGCACGGACGGCCCTACAGATTATACGAGTGGCGGAGAATCAGTAGTTTCCTAGACAAATCCACGTCCGTGGAGATTCTTCACGATGCCTTTTTACAATGCCAGACCACCTACCCTTGGTGCTCTAACACGCAGACGACCTACGTCAGCGGTGCTTACACCGTACCAGTGACAATCCATAGGAGTCAGACTCCACGGGCGACGCCATTGGCTGCTTGTCAGGCGGGAGTAGCGCGCGATGGGGAGGGCGTAACGTCGGGTCGAGTTTTCTCCCAGAATCTTCCGGGGCACGATTAGGGGACATCGTTCGCTTTTCAACCCTAAAGCAGCAGCAGGAACATGCGGGGGGCACAAACGTAGAGTCAGAGAGGGAGGATTATTCACAAACTAAAACCAGTGGAGATGCAGTCATGCAGCAACGTGTTTTCTTCTCTCCAAATAAGCCACAGAGTTTGCAGGTGCTGCTAATAATCTTTAAAAATATATTTTATGCATTCCGTAACAGAGCACACTGCTGCTTCACAGTCCTTTGATGTGTTTGAGCGATTCAGAGTAAGCCTTTGTTGCAAAATTGATTGAAAAAAATATAGAGCGACTGAAGGTCGGCAGAGCATTTTTCTAAGGTTAATACCACATTACTAGTGACCTTGTTGGATTAATAATAATAACGATGATTAAATTGAAAAATAAATAAATAACCCGTGACTTTGCGATAACCCTGCCTCCCGCGCATATCAAGCGCCTCCTCACACAAACAGACTGCCGTCATTGTGCCCCTGTTCCCCTGGCGGCGTCTGACGATCGCCGGCATGCGTGTCGCCCGCGGGGCGCGACGCGTTACGGCCCGTGGCCTCGGGGGTAACGCGAGGAACAAACACCCAACATTGATCTCAATTCATATCGGGGGGGGCAGCGGCGGTGAGAGAAACCAATGTTTCCATCCTCCGGACGCTCGTCCGATCGAAAGACTATAATGAAGTGCCTGGCCTCCGCTCACTGCTCTGTCCGGGAATAATTAACTCTCTCGCTGCCGGCGCTCGTCAACACAAACCGCACACGCCCGCTGCGCCCCTTACATCGGCGCGGCGGTCCTGGGCTGCGTTTGACAACGGTCGGCATTTGGCACAAGGCGAGAGAGCTTCGCTTGGAGCGGGACGCAGGGCGGGCGGCTTGGGGCGACACGAGGGAGCGTGCGTCACGGAGAAAGGAGAAGGGGGGGCGGGGGGGGCGGCATGAGTACTTGGTACGGCAGCCGCGTTGGGCGGACGGTGGGCGACCAGGTTAATTACAAGCAGAGCCATGGAGACGCACTCCCGCAATCCGATAAGCACGTAATGAATGGTTAATCAGGCGTCAAGGCAGTGGCATTTTTACTTCGCAGTGCCGCGGTGCTGAGACGCGACTCTTTACGGCTTTCAGTGCCACCTTAATAAATATCTCGGGAAGAAGAAAAAAATCGATAAAACCTACGGCTGATAATCTCTCACAAGAGGTAATTAAAGCGGGTGCATAATGTAAAACGGAGTGTTATTTAGGGGAAAAAGAGGAAAGAAAAATATGCCAATACTGCGGCTAAAGATGCTGTTGGCTAATGCGTTATTGGTATTGGCACCGCAGGGAAAATCACAAGGGGATACTCATCCAGAATAAACAATGACGCATCAATTTTCCTACAATTTATAATAATTTACAAAGCCACCTTCCGACGAATTAAAGTTCTGGAAAATCGATTTTGTTTTGAAATGTACGAGTCTCAAATACAATCGCGAGACAGAAACGACACCGCCGCGGTTTTGCCGTTCACCCCCGGCGAGGCTCTACCGCTGTTAGACGGCAACGAGGCGGGCGGCGCACAGTGACTCACCTGCTCAGTATCTCCTGCAGGAACTCTCCGCTCGAGGGGCTGCTGGCGGTGCCCATCGCTCCGTCCACGCCGCCGCCGCCGTGCGCGTCGTGCCGGGCGCTGCCGTCGGGCGAAGAGCGGCTCCCCTGCGCGTCGGGCGCTGGCTTGTCCGCCGGCTGCTTGCCCTCTACCCGCTTGCCACGAGGCTTGAGGCGCCGGCTCAGGGGAGCCCATTCCTTCTTCTCCTCTTTCCTCTGCACCTCCGCCTTGCCCTCTCCGGCTTTCTTCGGCTCTTGCTTCTCCACTTCCGCCTTCTTCACGTCGCCGGTGGGCGCCTCCATTTTTTTGGCCGGAGTTGCCGTCCCCGCCGCCGTCCCCGCCGCCGCCGCCGCCGCCGCGGTCGCCGCCGTCTTGTGCCTGCGGAAGCCGAACCAGCTGGCGATGGACGAGGCCGCGCCCGACTTGGGCTTCGTCTCAGTGGTGCTCGCACCGGCGCGAGACACTCCCTGCTGCTCCTTGCGCAGCATGTTCGCCTGAATGCCCTGCATCACCTTCTCCTCGATGGAGGGGCCCGCGGCAGAGCCCTGAGGAGACAGCGCTTGGCCCAGCCTCCTCGGAGACTCCGGCTGAGCCTCGAGGTTGGACTTGGTCGGTGACTTTGCTCCGTAATGTGGAGAATACAGCTGCTGCTGTTGCTGCTGTTGGCCCGTCCTGGTGCCCGCGAACTTCAGTTGCCTCTGACCCGGAGCCTCCGTTCCTTTACTGGCATCTCTCTCCTGGAGAATCAGCCCCTTGCCGTTTATGGAAAAACCGTCGCACTCGCCCTCACCCGCCATGATGTGGTTCTGACCTTCCGATGATTCCGCTTTGTCGAAGCCATCGATGTCCTCGTGCATCTTGGGAGTCTTTACGTTCTGAGCGAGCCGCACGCTTTCCATTCCGGACATCGCTCGAGGGCTCTCGAGCTTCGCTCTCGGAAGCTTGGCGTTCATGGCGTTCCTCTGCTCCTCCAGCTTCGTCACTCCTCTGTGTCCTTCTGGGCTCATGGCTCTGTGTCCCTCTGGGCTCATGGCTCTGTGTCCATCTGGGCTCATGGCTCTGTGTCCCTCTGGGCTCATAGCTCTGTGTCCCTCTGGGCTCATGGCTCTGTGTCCGTCTGGGCTCATGGCTCTGTGTCCGTCTGGGCTCATGGCTCTGTGTCCCTCTGGGCTCATGGCTCTGTGTCCCTCTGGGCTCATGGCTCTGTGTCCCTCTGGGCTCATAGCTCCGTGTCCCTCTGGGCTCATGGCTCTGTGTCCCTCTGGGCTCATAGCTCTGTGTCCCTCTGGGCTCATGGCTCTGTGTCCCTCTGGGCTCATAGCTCCGTGTCCCTCTGGGCTCATCACAGGCCGGTGTAAATCTACCTCCTTTGGTTGTCTCACAACATCGAATTTTGGCACCATTCTATGACCGGGCGCCCTCTGCCTTGCTCTGAAATCTTCCAACTTTCCCGGACTTCTCACTCCTTCCACCTTGGCAGGGGATATTCTGTGGCCGCTGTCCTCTGGGAGGGAGTCGTCCAGCCTCTCAGGATGCGTTGGCGAGCGCGGCCCATCAGGCTTCGTCGATATCTTCTCTCTCTCGGCCCTGGCCGGCAAACGGCTCGGGAGCTTGGTGGGACTGCCGTGGCTCCGCTCCACTCCGTCGCATTCCGTCTCTGCATCCGCCTCGAGGGCCACGGGCGTGGGCTGCGCCGTGATCGCCTCCTGCACGATAGTGACGTTGTGGAAGTTCTGCGCACAGTGCTTGAGCAGCTCGCTCTCGGACACCGCCTCCAAGACGTCGTACCCATTCTCGCCGGCGGATTCCAACCCGTGCGGATCGGACACGAGCACGCAAAGCTGCAACTCGGTCGCAGCGCGATCCTCCTGCTGCTGCTGCTGCTGTTCTGAGGGCGTCGCAACCCTCGGAGGCTCCGGGGTCGTGAGCGACGACTGGCGGCTCAGGGGAATCCCGCGCTCGGCCGTGTTGGTGATGATGTGCGTGCGGATCTTGGGGCTGAGCTCTCCCGCCGAGCTGGCGGCGGGCATCCTCTCGCGGCTGCCGGGCTGCGCGCTGAAGCTCTGGCTGCGCACCTTGGTGCCGCTCATGCCGAGTGCCGGCTTGGGGTAGGGGCGCGCCGTGCCGGGCGACTGCGGTGTGCCGCGCAGGCCCTTCAGCTCGTCCCGGAACTCCGCGTCGCCGGAGCTCGTGGCGGGAGACGAGAGGGGAGACGGGAGGGGCCCCTCTCCCGGGTGGGGCTTGGCGTCGAGGTCGGACGACGCGCACCCGTGCGTCGCGGGGGAGTTCGCCTCCTCCGACGGTCGGGGGCACGGTGGCACTCCCTTGCTCGCCCACGTCGCTGCATCACTCGCTCGGTCCGGCTCTTTAGAGGGCGGCGTTACGCTCGTCAAAGCTTCGGCTACTTCCTGAGGGTCGCCGTGAGCGCGTTCCAATTTCAACTCTTTTTTGTCCGAAGTTCGTTCGCATTTGCTGCTGACGGGTGGGGAATTTAACCCATTTGTTGGACGCACAGAAGCAGTGAAGCTCGTGGTGACATTTGCTACAAAATGGTTCTGCCGCTCCGGCACATTGCTGCACAGGGCATTGTAGGACTCGATTAGCACCGGAGATTTCATTGTCAAGCAGCTCTTGGTAGCATCAGTATGCTGCGTGACATTATTAACGGTCCTCTTAGGTGAGAGAATTGCTTGATTTTGAGTCATGTTCCCTTCGCTCTGACTCTGAGGTAACTGAAGCTTCTGCTGCTGCATGGAGGCGTGGTTAGGCCTGGGCTGCTGATGCGACGACACGTGCGCCAACGTCTGGGAATAGCCCACCCCTTCCGAGACGGAGCTCTGGGACTTGTGCAGCGACTGCGGGACCCTGGGCACCACCGCCGGCTTGGAGGCGTGGGTCGGCGAGCCGACGGGCAGGCGGCTGGCGGCCCCCCCACGTGCCGTGCCCGCGGCCTGCTGCTGCTCCTTGCCGCAGCGCACCCTCAGCAGGCTCTGCTGGGTGTCGTAGCTGGGCCTGAGCAGCGTCATGCTGGGAGGGATGTCATAGTTGGGCTTGATGAGCAGCGAGGCGGAGCGGCCCGGCGGGGGCGGGGCGGGAGGCGACGCGAGGTGCGAGGGTTTGACCCCGCCGGACGCGCTGTCCCGTACGGGCTCCTCCTGGTGCTCCGGGGAGAGCACCGGCGACGGCGGCGCCGTGACCGGGGACGGCGCCGTGGGCGCGGCCTGCTGGGCCGCCCTGGAGAGAGTGGCCACCAGAACGGGCTTCCTGCCGGGAGGAGGAGCGGCCTCGGGCGACGGGCTTGCGGGCCCACAGCCGTTGGGCAGCTTCGTGGCGGCCGCAGCTTCGCTCTTGCAGGGGATCCGAGAGCTGCGAGGTAGCTGGGGGCTTCCCCTGGTGGGGTTGGCCAAGTCGGACTTCACACCCAAGCCGCTGCCCACGCTGGGGATCTTGAGGAACCTGGATAGCTTGGCGGGGGACGAGGGGCCCGGCGATTTGTCGTGAGGAGCGCAGCCGCCGGCCTTCTCCTGACTTTTGCTCCTAAATGCCGGCGGGTTTCCACTGCTGGGTCCCCCCCCCGCCTTGCAAGGGACCTTCATCTGCTGCGGCAGACTCTGGGATTTTCCCGACATCCGGCCCGGCGGCACCCTGGGGCCGCTGGGTGAGGAGGAGGCCGCGGCGAACCCCGCAGAGTAGAGGCCGTTGCTTTTGTGGCCCCCGCTGTACGGCGGCTTGATCAGGCGTTGCTGAGCACCGTGAGACATCGCCAGAGTGGGCGCTGCACTGTGCGATTGACCACTCGAGGCCGACGTGGATCCTGAGGTCACCTGAGAGATGTTTCCAGTGGTTGAACTTCCAGCGGGGGCGGGCGGCGCCGCCTTGCCACTGCTGCTGTCGGAGTCTCTGATCGGCTGCTCCTCCGTGGGAGATTCCAAAACTGCGTAGTCCGCGGCTCTGCTGGCCGAGGCAGCCTCGGGCTCCAGTTCAGTGTAATTAACTTCTTGCTTGGCGGAGCCTCTGACGTGAAGTGCCGGTGCGCCGGGGGTCTGAACCCCGGACCCCAGCTGCGAGGGGCAACAGTCCTTGGCGTCGTAAATCACGGCCGGGCCTGGCGGCTCCTCCTCAGGCTTCACCGGCGCGTCCGCCGCGGCCACCGCCGCCCGTTTCACGAACTGCAGCATCCTGGGGCGATCGCCGGCTGTGGTCACCTGACCGGTGAGAGAGATCACCTGACCGCACAGCGAGCTCACTTGGCCCGTCACCGTCTTGTGCACGGACTGCGCCAGCGACACCGAGATGTTGGGGAACGCCGCGCCGGGCGCAGCTCCCAGCGTCGAGCGGCCGCCGCCGCCGCCCTCGCCGTTCCGCCTGCCGGCCGGCTCCTCGACACCCTTCAGGCTGACCTGCATGCGGTTGGCGGTCAAGCCGAACCTCCAGTTCTCCGAGGCCTTGCCCAGACTCTGGCAGCGCGGCAGGTACCCGGCGATCCTCTCGTCCACGCCGCGCACCTGGTACACGCAGCGCGGCGTCCTCGGGAAGGGCGCGCGGGGTCCCGGGCCGAAGAGGCCATCGGAGAGGCTGTGGGGCAGGCGCAGGCAGGAGGGCAGCGTCCACTCCTTGCAGGGCACGGGATCCAGGCTGGCGCCCCTCGCGTCGTCCTCGCTTTCCTCCTGCGAGTCCGACTCGTACGAGCACTTCTGGTGTGGCTGCACGCCGCGCAGGCGCACGGAGGCGTGCGCCACGACGCCGGGGAAGTCGTTATGCTTGGAGCCGGGCGAGTAGATGCCCTCGTTGGAGCTCATGAGGTCCCGGTGGGCGGCGGTCCACTCGCCTGGTCGCAGGCTGTTTCGATCATCCGGCGCAGGAATTGGCTCCCTGGACACGAGCTGCCGGAGGCCCTGGCGGGGTACGCGTGTTGTGGGGGAGACGGCGAGCGTGCGAGTTAGGTTGTTGTTAGAGTAGTGCCTTGGCAAGTGTTCTCTAGTCAGTGGCGGCGGCGGTGGTGGTGGTGGTGGTGTGCACTACTGAATTTTCTGTCGAGAGGAGTTGAAGCGTAGTCGTAAGCGCACTGCACTATGAACCTGGAGACCCGGGGTCGATGCTCGGCCATGGATAACATCAGTAGCGATAATCTGAATTGGTTTGGGGCATCTCCTAGATCGACTCAGGTAAAATGTCAACCTGGTTCAATGTGTAAAGATCAACAATGGGGATAGAAAGGTAACCACGTTGTGCCTTTCTTCACAGGTGCTGTGAACAACACTTTCCCACCAGAGCCTGCTTGGCTATATAGGGGATCTTTGGCTTTGTTGAGGTGCAGCTGATTCTCAGTGGTGCCGACCAACGCAGAGGAACAATTGCTGGGAGGCGTTGCCAACTCTCCGCTCATCCACTGACCTTTCTACCTGCCGAACGATCGAGCTAATTAAAACCACGGCCAATATATTTAGGTTGCATTATCAGCCGAGACCATTAAAAATGATCAGCCAATTTAGAATGTATCGCAGTGCACTCACACGTTAATTGGAAATTATCGTTGTAACATTTCACTCTGAAGGACAACTCTGAGGGCATCGTCCAATTTTGACAGAGCGGCTCGGCAGGCCGAGCACGCCCTGAGACCATCCGCATGGGCCTGCTTCTCCCTCGACTGCAAAATTAAACAACAGGCCTCAGGGGAGTCTGCTAGCAGTCGCACGGAAGCAGAAATAAATAAATAAATAGCTAGCCACATTCATCACGCCCGCAGAGAAGATATATAGTCAGCTGATGAAAGTCAGCAGAGAGAAAGCAGGAGAATCCCAGTTTTACGCGAGCCTCGCACAGTAAATATGACCCCCAATTACAGTCAACACATCTCTGTAACCTCTTTCTTCTGGCTCTGAAAAAGGGACATTCTGTGAAACATCAGACGACTGCGTATATTCTTCAGTTTGTGATTGTATGACGAATGTGGTGAGTTGTTGTTGTTGCTGTTTACTGGACCGTGAAAAAGAGCTTCATAGCTCATCCGAATCCTCCAGTATAAGTAAATATTCCATCCTTGCCTGCAGGATGCTCATCTCCTTCCTCTGCTGCCGCTTGAGTGCCTCCTCGTGGGAGCTGGGCAGGGCCCCCAGCTCCACGCTGCCACTCCGCCTCTGCTCCTCCGCCCTGGACGGTCGATCCTTCTCACTCCCCGCCGACTCCTTCCCCTGATCCTTGTCTGCGTGCCTCCCGTCCCTCATCTCCACTTTCTGTAAAACGACGGTGGAGGTGAACCGGCGACGCTCGCACCGTGCGCGGTAAACGGGGTGGGGGAGGGGGGGTGTGCGGTGGAGAAGAGGGGCCGCTTGGTGACTTGATGGCTGCCACAGCCGGAGTCTTTCTGAAGAATCGGTCAATATCTCTCGTGTGTTCTCGGTCTGCGTCACGTGTTTCTTTAGTGCGACGACCCGAACGTTTCACGACCCGATAACACATCGGAGGGCTCTCCATGCAGCAGAATCCGCGAACCTGTTGCACGGCGCTACGCGACGTGCACACGTGCGCCCCGTGTCAACATCAGCGGCCCCGGGCTCTAGAAGGCGACCCACCTGCCCCGCGGTGGACTCTCGCTGCTCGGCGGGCCACGGGCAGGAGTGCGTCGACAGCTCGCTGCACGTGCTGGACAGCGAGATCTCGCTGCTGCTGCTGCAGCTGCTGGTGACGAGGCGGTGGCGCCGGCGGCCCAGCGTCGGCACCGAGCCGACCCCGCGGCACAGCGCGCCGCCCTCCACCACGCCCAGCGCCACCCCGGCCTGCCGACGAGACGGTCGGTGCGTGCGATTCTCGAGTCATACAACCACCAAGGGACTTCAATGAAGGGCGTTACCATTAGGACTACTCGCTTCGTATGTACGCATGTACGTTGTACTTATTTGGCACCGTACGTAGGCAACTGTGCTTATTGGAGGTGCGGGAAAAGGACAATAAACTAAACGCAAAAAGCAGCGCTAATTTAATCAGTTTTAAATCCAGATTTAAAGGTGCAAAGCCCCAGCAGCTTCCTAATAATATCGGTGAGCGTTCCAGACTGCCGCAGAAGCGCATCTGAAAGCGTGCGACGCAGTGACCGTCTTTGTTCAATGGCATGGACTCACAACCGTCTGATCGCCACAATGGACGGATGATAGGTGCAGTGTGATCCCTACTCCCTTTCTCTCTTCACCTCATCCAAGCATGCACGGTTGCACAACCCTCTGGCACTCGCCCAGTTATCTACCACTTTGCAACTCGCAGATGGCAGTGAGGCGGTGGTCGCCACAATGCATTAGTTATAATGTGTCTGCCAATATTCCAGGTCAGGTCATGCACACTCAAAATTCAGAGTTGCTTTTTGGAAAGAGGAAATATTTTTTTTTCGGAACTTGAATTTCCAATCTTCGTACATCTTTGCATTTACCAAACCACTATTGATAATACATTGGTAGAAGGACCAAACATGCATACTAAGTGTGATGCATGTCGAGAGTCTGAATATGCATGTTTGTGAATGTCTCCGCATCGTCAACTATAGGGCATATTGCCAAGCTCGTGTATTTTATTAAGTTAAGTCAAGCTGTGAATCTGGCCCGAAATCCATTCAATCAGGAACTCACACCCATTAGGCACACAATGGACGGCAGAAGAGTACAAAGCCGCTGTGATCAGTGGAAGTCATTGACAGAATGACTCACAGTGCAAACAAGGCAGGGACAAAACGAAAAGCAGAGCGCATGATATTACAATTACACCAAACGGCGGGCGAAGCGTCACGGGCGAGGGAACTGCAAATGAGCGTTAGAATAACAGAAACCGCTGACCAATTACAAGCCACTCGTGTGTACCGTAATCATGAAACAGATTGCAATGCAGGCTTCGAAAGCAAAAGCTATTTTCTCTGCAGCATCAGTCCTGATTTGCGAGCAATTTGAGGGACCGCGAGATGAGCGGGAGAAGGGAGGTCGCCAAAAGTACTTTTTAAGCGTGCGGTCTCCTACGCTCAACCCACCGCTGCCCAGCCGCTCTGCAGCACCGACGGACGGCGCCACCACACGGGACGATCTTTCGCGATCCTCAGTGGGACTCGCGTACGGGTTGGCGGTAAGCACGTCACGACGCTTTGATCGGTCCATCGAAATGTATACTGCTTGTTTCATCAATGCACCGATTACAATTGATGTTTACGCCCATGATGCCGACAATGTATCATGCGTGGTGAAGTCACGTGGGTGGGGGCTCCATCCAACGCCCTCCTCAAGAGAGGGCAGCCCGTATGCCTCGATGGATATTAAATGAATGCATATGCAAACAAATAGTATCCATTAGCCAAGCTCCCCAAGTGCTGGACATTGGAATGGTGTTCTAATGTCTATGTGCGGAGCGTGCCGGTGACCACTGTATGAATAATAGATGTTCATGCTCGTGATGTATACATTGATTCGGACGTGTGAGAAAATCGTATTTACAAACAAGCTGCTAATGTGACAATTAGGCTAATGGGCGCAAACAAAACTGCACAATGTGACAAAATGCACTGAGAAAAATAAAAGGCAGATGGTAAAAATTGGAAGAAAAATTTAATGACTATTCAATTGTGACAATTCATAGAATCGCATGGCCTAGCCAGCACAGCACGTCTCCCACACATGGATATGTAAACACAGATTAATTTATAGATGGACAAAAAAACGCCCTTTAACGAGCGTAGCAGCAAGTTCCATTCGTGAGCACCTATTAAGGCCCATACAATGCAGAATTGTGGCCAGCTGCACGCCTGGCCACCATTGGCTTCCCAGTTGTTAATGTCCATAATAAATGCTTGCTCCTAACTCAACGTTTAGGTTGAGTCAACCCTGGAGACGCCCGGCGAGTTGCAGTTTCAGACACTACGAGACACCGACGCTGTGCACAACCAGGGACGAAACCCAGGTCGTTGCGTTTGCAGTGCAGCACGTTGAACCGCTATGGCAGTGCCGTATCAGCGACTGACAAATTCAACTTTGCAAAATGAATTGCCGGCTGGCCGGTCAACCAAGGCCCGCTCGTCACTCAGGCAGCCCCACATGCACAGGGCGACTGTCTCTTTGGCCAGGAGTTTTTACCCCACGGTGGGCCCTTGAGCGGCACGCGGCTGGATTAATCCACTTGACTCAGAATCACGAAATTTGCGTATATTTACTCTTGCAAAAAATAATTTGTTGCTGAAAATTAGCAGTTGAATTTATTGCAAGTGGTTGGAAATAAAACATTCCTATGGCGAGGGCAAGTCCATCCATAGGATGACCACTATAGTCTGTATACCAAGCATGACGGTGTCTCTGTTGCCACTCGACCTCCCCCTGCCTTCTTAGACAGTGCAGCCGTCGAAAACAAAACAAAAACCTCAATTGTTTAAAACATTTGTCCCCGGCATAGGCGCATTTTGTATTCGGTATGGGTGAGATAAATGCCTCTTCTCTCTCTCTCTCATAAATAATGAGTGTTCAGTGTCATGTAAGAGATGCAGAGATGTCAAGCGTGGATCCGATATGACTTCATTAGAACTGACAGTCCCCGATCCTCAGCACAATCCATTCACATCCCAAATTGGTGTCGATACTTTACACGGAGCTGACCATTAACAGACCATTTGCCTCCAGTTTTAATATCCTCCTCTACTGAAGACGCACAACCACGGGTGTAGGAGTCACGAGCTAATGCGCTTTTATGAGCCTACGTTGGGGAATAAATTACGGGAAAAGGCGGTAACATCTTTTTCGTCGTACGCAAGTAAGTTTTGTGACTTTCACAGGGTCACTCCTATGTGATGATATAATGGGATAATTGGAAAACTCCCTTTTAGGCCAAAAACAGCAGAAATTTTCCGACAAACTGGTTTAAACCGCGCAATTCATCCTCATACAGCCGGGTAACGCGATCAGGCTTCGTACAAGAGGACCCTTCATCACCCACCGGGTAACATTGATCCCTCCCATGTAATCTGGTTCATCCCACACCGTGCGGCAATTAATCTGCACCGAGACAGCAGAGGAGGAGTGAAGGCCCGGTCCCGGTGTGCCGGCTCCCGCCGCTATCAATCACGCGTGCATCCGTGGAGTTTTCCGCCTCTCGGCCCCGCGCGCTTGTTTCGCAAAGCAAAACAAGTCGTCCCGAGCCGGCCTCCGCGCACTCCCCTGGCAACGCTCCTCCATCACGGGGGCCACTTTTCACTTTGACAAAAGTCACGACAATTCTGCAGGCAACGCTGCCGCGCCCGCCCTCGCTCACGCTCGCGCACGGGCGGTCGGTCACAAGAGGTCAGCGATACGCCTCTCCCACATCTCCCGCTCAGGAGGGGAGGCTTCCAACAGCCGGGTGGTGTCGTTGCTAAGTGAAATTCGAGTTCCTGGATAAGCTCCCAGCAGCATGTGAGAAACGTCGGACATCATCATCATGTCGAACATGTCGAACATGATGATGACGGGCACAACCTGAAAACGAATCGGAGAGCTATAGCTGTGACATCACACCACGCTCGTGCATTCTCACTCCTTCTCCCAAACGCACGGACGAATATCCCCCATATGCCTTGTGTACCATCGGGACAAGTGCTGCTAGCGAGCCGCGACAAAGGCCAGGGAAGCACACGCGGGGGATTGGATGGCCAGCACAAGACGTGTAACTATGCATCAATGTATCAATAAAAATTGATTGTTATGTTCATGATAAGTGCATTACATTGTGCATGTAATTTTTATTATTATTTATAAAACACGTTCATGTCGCTCTTGCAGCCACTGAAGTTTCTACATGCAACACAATGTAAAAATAATTAATTTATCATTTAATCTAATGGTGACCCTGAAGCTTGACAATTCATGGAATCGGGTATGGGGGATAGAGGATCGATAAGATGCCCCTGGCCAGCAGCATGCATCCCCAGCCATGATTGCCTCACATAGATTTGAATTGACCCCATATCCAAGTTCATAAAGATGTGTCGATGTTATTCGCACCCACTGCCTCGCTGATTTAGCATAAGGAATGGGTCTAGGCCAGGTTATTAGGCCAACTTCACTGATGTTCTGCAGCACCACTCTTCACAAAACACAATAATAATACCCTGTTCACGCAATGTAGTCGAACGGACAAGCATCGTTAAGTGAGCACCTGTTAAGGTCCACACAGCTCTTAAGGAAGGAGAGAGGCCAGCATCATCCCTGGGCCGCTTTGTTTACAAACCGCAATGGATGCTCGATTAAAGATGAGCGAGGAAAGCCTCAGGATAGATTAATATTATACCGTTTCTCTTTGACGGAACCAGCTGCCTAGAATCAGTGTGCTAAGCACTGTGCCACTACTCTCCACACAACGCGGCAAAGACCCCACATGTTGCCTACAATGGACGGTGTGACAAGTGGTGTCAGCGGGGACTTTCGAGACCAGCAGCGTGTTGCGATGGGGTGGTGTGGCCAGCACCATGCCCGGTCACCATTGTCTCCAGATTGCTGATCTTTAAATGAACCTGCACTACCAGTTTACGGCTGGGTCAACTTGGGAGGGGCCCAGAACTAGTTGAGTGAACACTCGTGACCGTTATGAGCCATTGCCTGGAACCTAACTCAGATTGCCGGGTTTGTAAGTGCACTGCGCAAAACACCGCACCCGCCACTAGCCACACACGTACGCACTCAGGCATGTGCATCCCCCGTTGCACGCTGCTCATTGTCGGCTGGCTGCCCTTCAACTTGCAGGGTCTGTCATCGCAGATGCCGCATCCTGCCCGCTCCTCCTCTTC